GAATGTCGAAAGCCACAATTTCTATAATTAATATTGCTTAGGGCATACCCGTTTTCTTTTTTTCCAATTTTCCAATATTCGCAGTTTATCTTATATACAGCTACTGGTGTTTTATTCTTCATTTCGAAAGGACAGATCGTCTAAACTTGCTTCAAAGTATAAATAATCGATATGTGCATACGAGAGACGTCCTTTTGTTATACCGACAGCGTTTTTCGGACTTCTCTAACCTTTCCTGAATCATTTCTTGCACAACCCAATTCCATATTTAGCAAACATATTCTAAAACTGGTAAAATAGATTTGCATAGGTTTCAAGAAGATTATTTCGATTCAGTAAACACTTTAGTCTTCGTATGACGCTCATCAGCTTTCCATGACAGAGCTATAGATCGCACTAACAAGCTCGCCGCTCCTGCCCCGCCCTGGTTGATAGAATATAATGAGTTCATGTACAGTAGAATTTAAAGGAACAAAACCAAACTGATGTTTATATAACAAAGAGATTTTTTTTTTTTATTAATTTACAATTTTACACATGCAAAGTTAAACACCTTCACAGTACTTATTTTAAATAATTGTGTTGAAGATTACTCAACAATTTCTAGGGAAATCGGTCTATTGTAAGAGGTGGAATGCTTGTCACTATATTTAAACAGTTGCATGACTAAACATTTTCCAACTATTCAAAAAAAAAACACGTATCAATAAAGACATCTCTACATGTAATATTCTATGTTACTTTATCTACGTTAAGCGTTGGAGCCCACTTAATCCTTCTGGACCTACCGCTGCAAAACCATATTCGTTTTATCACACAAGGGTGTTATCAACCATGCACATTGTTCTATATAGCACCTCCTCAGTCTGTCCTCGTCTTTAGTCAGTTTCCGTTTGCTGAGACGTAAACTCTTATTGCATGAATTAGATTTAGCACCTGAGCAAACTTTTAGTTTCTCAGTACAGGAGAGAGATTTTAGTAAGGGTACCGTGCATTATAGAGAACACACTCCCACGTAGTAAGCTTACTGAAGATATACGTCCATGAAACACGTTAATATGGGTTATAGAGGACATGCTTATCTTCACTGAGGAGATACTTTAAACGCAATTAAATATCAACAAGGTCAATAATTGTATACTAATCACTGACGACTTGGTACGCAACAGAAAAAAACCGTCAATAATAATGGGTCATTACGGTCGAGAGTCTTCACTGAACGAATACACGGCCTGCAAAATGCACTTCATAGTCTTCATCCAGGGCACAAAAAAATAACAAGACGGCTGACAGCAAGGTCATTACAGAAAAAAAACAATTCTTAACAAGGACACCATCTTAACAAGGGGGAATAACATTGTACGATACCGGGGTGTGCTTTATATAAGCAATGAAGTAATGTATATGCAATACGCTTGTGCGTTGCAGATTACAATCTTGAATTAAGAAATAAATGATCAATTTGTTCAGGTACTGTCGCTGTGGCTATCCTAATGAAGATACCTATCATTTCCTTTTTAACTGCAATACAAAGAATAATCCTCCTCCGTGAACTTAATGCAAGTATTCCTCTCATCGTTAATCTACTCCTTTTTGGAGATACACATTTATCTGAGCAGGATAATCTTCATGCATTCTCAGCAATATATTCATGATTCTAACATTTCAACCCACCCCGCTCCCTTCCCTTCTTTCTATCTCTCTCTGTTTTAGTTAAAAATCAGGTTGTATATAAGTTTAAATGTTTTGTACCGATCTTTTCCTATGTTGACGGCACAAGAGACACGGATATTTAAGGACGAACGGAATGACAAGGAGGAAGCAAACCAAGGCACGGGAGTGATGGACAATAGTACAAGGCACGGGAGTGATGGACAATAGTACAAGGCACGGGAGTGATGGACAATAGTACAAGGCACGGGAGTGATGGACAATAGTACAAGCAGAATGTTTAGGTAAGTGTATAGTGGCAACTTCTGCCGTCAGTGTCGGAAAATATTGTCCACATTACAAAAAATTACATTCTCTCTCTCTCTCTCTCTCTCTCTCTCTCTCTCTTTCTCTCTCTCTCATAAGATATGTGCCATCTTGAATTTTGTAAGTATATACAGATGTTTTATTTTAGGGAAAAGCTTTTAAAAAAGTTGTACAACTTGTGCCCAATCATGTTGCTTTAAAGGCAATAAAATACGTTTAAACAAGTAATGCAATGAGCGAATCTCAACTTCGACATTATTTACATGTGAAGAAAGATAACTCGAATAAAACTCAGAAAACTTCACTGTTGATAGTCCAGATATTTTTACATTTGGCATGCCCATAATAATTATTTGTTTTTTGCATCTCACAATGATGGTTATAAAAGAATATATATCCGAAAAGTCACATCAGCCACTTACAATTCCTATGAAATTTTAATTGATTTTTTTTATTCTTCGCAATCAATCTTTTTTTTTAAATATTGAAATCAATTGACCGGCTAATTCGCTTATATTATCCCTTTGTAATATTTAAACGTTTCATCGTGAAACGATTCCGTTAGTTACACTGTCCTTATCAAAATGTATTAATGTATAAATGTTTTTCTACTTTCTTTGAACTTGTAAAGATGTTGCTAAAATGCGGAATAATCTATTAGATTGTGAATCATTATTACTATGATTATGAATGATGAAGTTCAACTTGCACGAGGACACTAAATTGTAAAGAAGCTGACCCCGGTGCTCCCCAGCCCTGATAGTCTTCTAATATACAATGTATTTGTTGGGGGAATAAATTTGATATTCGCACACACACAAAAATGTTTAACGTCATGTTTTGGAGTTGATATCGACGTTGGCTATGGAACCAAGATACTTTTAATGGAACGTTGAACGTTGTCCGTAGTACTTATGCCATGGAAAATAGAACTGGAGCTGTTTTGAAAATTGAGCATGGAAGGTATCATAATGTTCTGGATTAGATTTTCAATTTTGAATAAATGTAGGAGCCACTTCAAAATATTAATATCAAAATATTCTGAGGTCCATATTCAACGTCGTATTCCGGGTCTATTTTTAACTTTGAATGTGGAACAAGTCGAATCAAAATTGAGCATAGATTTTACAATTATTTGACAGTCAGCTCTGAAATAAAAAAATAAAATAAAAAAAATACAAACATATTTCAAATGTTGCGACGTTTAAATTTCGATTTTTTCTTTAAATGTGTGTTTCTGCGCTTGGTTTTGCCAGTATTCATCTAATTTATATTCAAATTGTTTAACTGTGTTTGAATTCACAACATTTGACTGAAGATTGTTCCATAAACCAACAGTTCTCAGTGTAAACGGTAATTTTCGAAAAATTTAACGTTGTATCCACGTGTAGATGAAATTTCCCTGGTATTAAATATGTCGGATACTTCATGGTCAATTTTCCCTGACAATATTTTGTAAATCTCTATCATATCGCCACATGATCTTCTATATGCTAGTGTTGGTACTTTTTGTTTTCTTTTAGGCCAGGTACCTGCTTTTGTAAGGTATGTCCAATGATAACAGTTAAACCATGTTCTTTGTACGACTTGTAAATCGATAGTTGATGTGGTATAATAGATTATGACATAAATGTATCGTCAACTAATAACATAATTAATGATGTAGCCTATGTCATTATATAAATCGTTGCTATGCAAAGCATAGCCCCGAGTACCCCAGCTTCTAACGTCCAGTATCCAGAGTATCATACTCGCTCTTTCATTTCAATATCATACTTTTCAATCTATCAAAATATATTTTAGCAATTACTGTATACTATATCTTTCAAATTCAAAAACAATCATAAATCCCAAGCTCTAACAAAAGCTTTACTTATGTCATTAGCATTATTTTGTTATCTTTGTCTGGTTGGATTGAATGGTATTATATAAAAGTACAACTGATAATGGTCAACATAACAATGATCTGGTAGGAAAGCGAACTGGTTTCTATATATCACGGTTTTGTTTTCAGTATGGCGCGTTAATGATTGTGTTTTACTCTTTTTACAGTTTTTGTTGAAGTTTAAAGGTCAGTAGACGTCGTATTGTTTGCATGTTCAATGTTAAGATGAAGGAAATATAATATTCAAAATGGCCGTGAAAAGTCTTCAATTCTACTGGTCAATGGACACTTCGTCATCATATTCACGAATATTCACTCGGTGTAGATGAGACTTGTCAGCTGAGACAGAACTGAGAAGTGTGATAAACACAATCAATGAAATTTCTGAAATTATTAGAATCATTTAGATGAGACAATAGAGTAAGATATATATATATACGTACGCATAGAAGTCTTGCAATTTTTTCAGTATTTTCTCATTTAATGCAAAAAAAACTATTTCGGCAGCTTCCAATTTTATAAACTCACGTTCCACGTTTAGACTTACGGTCTCTAATTCCTTCAACAGATGTTCTAAATTTTACACATTTAAACATGGGGTATTTCAGTAGAGATACCACGTTTATTCACGTTAACACTTGTTTATTCTGGTAAACTTTGGGTTCTCTCACCCGAGTTTCAATATTTATAGTAAGATGCCTTGGACCAAGATTCCACGTTTATTACAATATAATGTCATGGTTTCTCACATGGAGTACACACGTGTATACTGACATACCCGATATTCCATGTTAACGCCTACACATCCAGGTTTCCAAGCATCACTGCCATGCCCAGGTTTCCATGTTTCTGATGTCACATCCGGTTTTCCAATCGGGCCATCACCCACAGTTTACGGTGACACGTCCGGATTCCCTGTTTATATTGCGATGCCTTGAATCCCCGTACCCTGTTTTGACATTTGATTACCTTATTCAATGATTTAACTATCATCCCTGGTTTCCGTCTTTACAATATTAAATATTCATGGTGTAACGCCAGGACTTCCATATTTTGCCTTTCATTCGATATTTACAATGTTATAGCCAAGTGTTACCTTTTTCAATGATAACAATGTCATTGGCGAGTTTGCATTTCTACTTTTATTAATGTTTACAATACAACGTTGGAGTTCTTCGTTTACATTAAGGTATTGTATTTCTGTTTTAATCCAGCTGCGCCCAGTTGTCCACCTTTGTACTTTTTCAGCCCGTCAAATAAACCAAATGTTTCATGCAGTTTTCGCGTTTATACAATATGCCCAGGTTTCCGATTGTACAATTTTTCAGCTGCGATTTAACATACCGGGGTTTCTACTTAACATTTTAATCATATCGATGTACCAATTGTCGCAAAGGTGTATCTAGTACTGTCACTGTTACAGTCGGGTTTCCAGGGTGTCCCTGCTTGGTGGTTCCGCCAACAGTGTGTTAGGGTGGCGAGGCAAGATCCTTCGTTTGTTGTGCTGTCGCCTCAGATTTTCGACCTTAGAGTTGGTAATCTGGGGAAACACCTTCGTTCTACACATGATGACGTTAAGAAAGTTCCTACGGAATTTTTCATTCATCAGTGTATATATGACTGGATTATAACAACAGCTACTCACCGCCAAACACTGTAAAAACTTGCGTAACTGTCGTATCGACTGTGTTGGGCGCACGTCCGACTTTTGGATAATGATGCTGAAGCATTGAAGAGGTAGCCAGCAAATCACATACAGGAACACAACTACGAGTAGCATCTTGATGGCTTTCTTCTTAATCCTCAACTGATTGCTCTCGGACGGCTGGACAGACGAACCGATGGGGCGCTTTATCCACAGGCGGTGGATGATGATACCATACAACACAGACATGACGAGGAGGGGGAGCAGGAACAACAGTGTAAAAGATAGCCACGTCTGGAGGACTTCACCAGCCACTCCATTCACCAGTGGCTGCATACACAGATACTTCGTGTCACAGCGCGACCGGTATGGTACCAACTCGTACTGTTGGGCATTGGGCAAGCTGGTGGCAACAGACAGAACCCACACAAATAGTAAAAGTGCGAACGCTTTCATTGGGCTCTGGAAGATTTTCCCTTTGAAAGGGTAGACTATGGCGTAGAATCTATCAAAAGCAATGCAACAGAGAGTCATTGAACTGCAGGACACTGACAAACTGTTCATAAACGGGACCATCTTACACGAGAAGGAGCCAGACTGCCAGAATGTTGTGAAGGTCACGGTAATGTCAAAGGGTGCGGCTGTGAGAGTGTAGAGGAGGTCGCTGACCGCCAGAGACATGATGAATACGTTTGTGGTGGACCGCATGTGACGGTTGAAGGCGAAGGTGAGCAGCACGAGCGAGTTACCCACCAGTGACGTAAACACGATGACACCATACAGCACTGCCAGGACGATCTTTGGACTTTCATCCAACTCAAAGCTTGCAAGGTACATATCCCAATCGGAGAAGACCACCAGCATCAATTTTTCACAGAAATTGGGAAACAGACTGCTTGTGGTAGGATTACAACACAAACTTTCTACATCATCAAAAATACTAGAAGACGAGTTTAATCCAGGAGAAGACAAGTTTAGTCCAGGCGAAGAGATGGTTGAGTTATGATTAGGGGAAGCATTAAATCCTGTCTGTGACGTCACATTCCCGCTAATTCCGAAAGGCGTGCTTGGGGTAGGAGAGACTAGCGTCGTGCTACTGTACATCTCGCGTAACGGGCGGTCACAAGAGGCTTGCTTTTTAAAAGTTCACGCGATGGTCAGAGGAACAATAACTGTGCATACACCAAAGCACAACTCATCTCCACGTCGAAAGGGGTAAATTTGTCTGTTTCTTTAGTGACCACATCACTTCGTTTTTATATATCAATATTGAAGTATTGGGCTAGTGAGAAACACACCTTGACTGTATAGAATTGAACTGTTCACTGACCAAGAGTTAGATACTGTTTAACTTAAACTGACCAACCTAAACATTGCACCTATAATTTCAACAAGATATCGTCATGGCATTAACGTCACTTCCCCCAAAACCGGATGTAGGCCACGGCCTGAGGTAGATTGTCAATACGGAAGATTAGTGGTCTGGAGAGGCAAACAAACACCATCTGTGCCAAAGATGCAGCAGTCTCCAATAAATATCTACATAGTTTACTCTGCCAAGTTATTTGATTGTGAAAAGTTTAAAATGACCATGGTGTGCTAAAGGTTTATCATTTTGAGTGTGTGGAAAGCATTAGACGAGAAAATATAGACTTTTCAGTAGTTTCCGTTTCCTTTCCCTTACATTTCTGTGTCTGTTTTCTACATATATACGTATTATAAATGGAAATTTAAGAATTGTTCTTAATGACCGTTCCAATGCAAAACATCGTATTCCTTATGAACTGAAAACATGTGTTTACAATAAAAACAATGTCAATAAAAACTCCTCGTAAGGTTTATATCTACCTACGTGGAGTACACCGTAAGGTTTGTATCTACCCACGTGGAGTACACCGTACGGTTTGTATCTACCCACGTGGAGTACACCGTAAGGTTTGTATCTACCTACGTGGAGTACTGTACACCGTAAGGTTTGTATCTACCTACGTGGAGTACTGTACACCGTAAGGTTTGTATCTAAACACGTGGAGTACACCGTAAGGTTTGTATCTAAACACGTAAAGTACACCGTAAGGTTTGTATCTACCCACGTGGAGTACTGTACACCGTAAGGTTTGTATCTACCTACGTGGAGTACTGTACACCGTAAGGTTTGTATCCACCTACGTGGATTACTGTACACCGTAAGGTTTGTATCTAAACACGTGGAGTACACCGTAAGGTTTGTATCTAAACACGTAAAGTACACCGTAAGGTTTGTATCCACCTACGTGGATTACTGTACACCGTAAGGTTTGTACCTAAACACGTGGAGTACACCGTAAGGTTTGTATCTACCCACGTGGAGTACACCGTAAGGTTTGTATCTACCCACGTGGAGTACACCGTAAGGTTTGTATCTACCCACGTGGAGTACACCGTAAGGTTTGTATCTACCCACGTGGAGTACACCGTAAGGTTTGTATCTACCCACGTGGAGTACACCGTAAGGTTTGTATCTACCCACGTGGAGTACACCGTAAGGTTTGTATCTACCCACGTGGAGTACACCGTAAGGTGTAATATAACGTATGCTCACTCTGTGCCAGAGCGCTGTGTAAGGTAAGAGCACGTTGGTAGGCAATGCCCCATATTTCAGGTTCCGTGAGAGGTGCTCCCCAAACCTGTAGGACCTCAAATAGAGACACTGACACTTCAGCTACTGGCATCTTCCTTCTTATACTTACAAACACAACAAAATACATCTTAAAACTTTGGGTACAGAACCAGCTTGTTACTTAATAATGGAAAACAGTGTCTTATTATCTTACAACACTTATTTAATAAGAGATCCCAGAGGGATCTTGGCGCCCACCATTGTACTATCTTCATTAGTTCTTTGTCAGTTTGATATTTTCTCTTCTTTCCTCTAATCTGTTTAATCGAGTCATGTTAACAGTTAATGCACCTTGAGGTAACTTTTGATCTAAACTTAATACTGATGTGTATGAAAGCCATCCTTCAAAGTGAGTTTGCCATTTCACATATTTACTAGTACAGTACTTAATGTGAAAGAAATAGAATCAATAATTGCAATATGAGAAAGATCTGTTTAGTTCTTCCTTTAGTCATTTTGTTTGTATGATCAGTCTCAAAATATAACATGCACAACGAGGGGTCAATGGGACCCTACATATCAAATTTGAGAAGATCCCTCAAGTTATTCCTGAGAAATAGTACTAACAAACCTTCAATGTCAAAAATCCTAGATGGCTGTCGGTAGGCCATTTTGTTTAACTGATCAGTTTCAAAAGTAATCATGAACAATAAAGGATAGTGGGAACCTGCATTGGCTGGCCAAAAAAAACAAACAATTTGGCTGCGTAAAAAAATTGAAGCACTGGCCCAAATGACATATTGGTGGCCCAAATAATTTTGGGAAGAAATCTTTCCACAGCATTTAGCACAATGCTTCAGCACATTTAAATAACATATAACATGACAATGTTTGTAATATGTTAAACAGAATAAAACATTATATTTTTAATTCTTCAACCCTAGTTAGTAAAACCTGACATGATCCACTCCATTCAGGTCTTTCCAAAAAGAAATACACAAAACTCGCACCTCAAAGAAGAAACCCTGGCAGTATTTATATAGAAAATCTAAAAAAAAAATTATCACATTTTCTAAATCACCGACAGTTCGATTCAAATCGAAGTAATGACAACTGAAAAATGTACTGCCACCCAGTTAATGTGGAAGGGACTATAATTTCTTTTATTCATTAATTTTTCGACAGTCCCCCAAGCTATTTTTGTTGGGCCAGTGACTATCTAACTTTTGACAACTTTTGGTCGCTCGAGCAAGACTTTAACCGCCATTGGCGAGCAGGTGACCGTCCATTTTAGGCACTGCTGCAACAACAAGGGAACAAGGGAAACCTACATATCAAATTTGAGAAAGATGCCTCTGGTACTTCCAGAGAAATAGCGATAACAAACTTTCAATATCAAAATCAAAGATCGCTGCCTGTCGGCCATGTTGTTTATCCGATCAGACTCAAAGGTTGCACTGCACAGCTAGGGACCAAAGGAAACCTACATTTAAAATTTGAGAAAGATCCCTCTGGTACTTCCCTAGAAATAGCGATAACAAACTTTCACTATCAAAATCCAAGATGGCTGCCTGTCGGCCATGTTGTTTATCCGATCAGTCTCAAAAGTTGCCCTGCACACCTAAGGACAAAGGGGAACCTACATATAAAATTTGAGAAAGAAGCCTTTGGTACTTCCCTAGAAATAGCGATAACAAACTTTCACTATCAAAATCAAAGATGGATTCCTGTCGGCCATGTTGTTTATCCGAACAGTCTCAAAAGTTGCCCTGCACAGCTAAGGACCAAGGGGAACCTTCATATAAAATTTGAGAAAGATCCCTCATTAAATACTATACTGTACTACAATATTTCACTGGCAAACTTTGGCGACTCCAACTGCTGAAACTATCGGCCAAATATTATTATATGATTCTATGATATTTGGTTCTTCTTCAGAAATTGTTTGACATATTTTTTTATCCCTGTGACCTTGTGAGTAGGTCAAGGTCATTTTCCTTCTCAAACTTTGTTGGCTCTATCCCAGGAAGCTACCAACCAAATCTTATGAATTCATTCCTTTTGGTTCTTCTTCATAGGTCGTTTGAAATGTTGATGACCCCTGTGACCTTAAACATAGGCTGTGGTCATTTTCATTGTCAAACTTTGTCGGGCTCTATCCCAGGAAGCAACCAGTCAAATATGAAGATTCTATACCTTTCAGTTCTTCAGAAGAAGTCGTTTGAAGAGTTTGACAAATTGAACCGCTGTGACCTTTAAAGTAGGTCAAGGTCATTTTCATTGTCAAACTTTGTCGGGCTCTATCCCAGGAATCCACCAGGCAAATATTCAGATTTTATACCTTTCAGTTCTTCAGGAAAAGTCGTTTGAAGAGTTTGACAAATTTGACCACTGTGACCCTGAAAGTAGGTCAAGGTCATTTTCATTCTCAAATTTTGTCAGGCTCCTACCAACAAAGCTTTCAGACAAATATCATGACTCTAGGCCTGTTCGTTCTTCAGAAGATGTTGTTTAAAGGAAAAGTTGACGGACGACGGACGCCGCAACATGACATAAGCTCACTTGCCCTTCGGGAAGGTGACAGCATTTATATAAAACAGATAAAACAAACACATATTTTGCTGTATGTACAGATATCCATGTTTTTATTTTTTTTCAACCGTTTGTTTTTTATGACAAATTATATCCTGAATGAGAAATTGCTATTTGAGGAATGTTATACAGTACCCAATACATAATTCTCTACATGCATTTCAAACATCATGCGTATTTCAAGTTTTTTTAAAGAATTAAACTATACAAAATAAAATGGCGAAATATCTTTGGACGGTCTAATTTGAAGATCTATGACATTACATATGTATGTTTAGTATAAATATACGTACATGCTATATAAGGGTCTGGTGTATTATCACACTAACTATATGGACGACTATACTAGAGACAGACATACTGGGGACACAGATACATAGGGAAAGACACCCGGGGGGTTCATTTAGAGTACATACAGGGAATATAAAAATAGGGATATAAACACATTGGGGGGGGGGGGTATACTTAGGACATTTCGCTTGGAGGATACACATACATGTTCACATGAGTAAGGATTCACGCGGACATATACACACGAGGAACAAAACATTAAGGACATGCATACGGCTAAGGATTCACTTTTGGAGATTACATAATATATGTGAAAGGACAAACATTTACATATTAATAAGGATACACTTAGGACATTTATACATATATAAGGATACATTAAGGACAAACACACACAGGAAGGGTACATATAGGACATACAAACGGATAAGGATACACTTAGGAGAACTACACATAGGGAAGAGTACACACATACAGGATTAACACACGGAAAAGGATACACTTAGGACATTTATACATGGATAAGGATACATTAGGGACAAACACACATGGGAAGGATACATAAAGGACATACAAACGGATAAGGATACACTTAGAACAAACACATGGATAAGGATACACTTAGTACATACATATGGATTATGATACACTTGGGAAATACACATGGAAAAGGATACACTTAGGACAAACACATGGATAAGGATACACTTAGAGCATTAACACATGGGGAAGGATATACATAGGACAAACATAAGGATACGGATATACTGAGGATATACACACAAGGATAAGGATACACTTAGGACATGTACACAGATAAGGATACACTTAGAACATATACACACGGTAATGATACACTTAGGACATACTCACATAGGGATGAATACACTTAGGACATACTCACATAGTAATAACCTCTTGGCTTTAACACTTCTTGGACATGATACATAAGTGCAAATGTAGCTCAGAATAGATACACTGTGGAAAAATCACTTTAGACATTTGAGAAAGACACTTAGAGACAGAAATGTAGGGAACAATCACATGTATATACTAGGGAGAGATTCAATAAGGAGATTAAGGACAGATGAACTTAAGCTTTGTGCTAGAGGACACTACAAACACCTGCATATTCTAAAAGCAGGACTAATCATATATATGTGTTTGTTTGTGCATTTACCTTTATTATAAAGGCAGGGCTTCTGTAAGCCATTGTTAATGTGACCTACAGGTAACATCCTGGTCCCCATACACCATATGTTGCAGAAATACCTGAGCACATGCACACCATTTTACCGTCTCTCGATGTCTGACTTACTGTCACAGCTATGTTTACATGTCACTACATACTCTTGTTACCAATGTATCCAGTGATAATCACTACCAGGCTACAGCATTCACTCACAACTATGTCTGATCACATCTGACTGACTTCTAGATAAGGTCAAATGACAAATCCCACCTCCCACATCAATAGAAAAATCAATATCTAGTCTAGTGACAACACCCTTGTCTCAGTCATCAATATCTAGCCCATTGACAACACCCTGTCTCAGTCATAAATATATAGATGTAGTATGCTATATTAAATGTTGCATTTGGACTGTCTCTGTCATTGCATTGTCATTTGTGATATACCAAAATTTCGGTTTAGATGTGGGGAAAAAAGGGATAATCATTACGAAGGTATTTGGGATATTAAATTTCTACCTTCACGTGCAAAATTTTGTGTTAGAAGATCGGCACAGCCTCAGTTCTGACCTAAGTTCTACATCCTCAGGTAAATCAGAATATCCACATCCCACATACATACATATGATAGACTCTATAAGTCAACAGATAAATGATGCAAAATGTTAGATGTTACCAGACAACATGATGCCAGAAGACATCTGATACCAGTAGACCTGATGTCAGTTGACAGATAGTGGGAGAAAGTTGATAAATTGAAAATACAATGTAAGCAGACACAAAATAAGCTTGACACGATCAGAGATATGACAAGAAACACATGACATCAGCAGACATATGATACTGAATATGATGTCAGGAGACACGTGACGTCAGTAGACATGTGATGTCAGTAGACATATAATACTGAGAAGATAGACATTATATCAGTAGACACATGATGTCACAGTAGACATGTGATGCAGTAGACACGTGACATCAGGAGACGTGACGCCAGTAGACACGTGACGTCAGTAGACATATAATACTGAGAATATAGACATTATATCAGTAGACACATGATGTCACGGTAGACTCATGACCTCAGTAGACACGTGACATCAGGAGACATGTGACGTCAGTAGACATAATACTGAGAAGATAGACATTATATCAGTAGACACATGATGTCACAGTAGACACGTGACGTCAGTAGACACGTGACATCAGGAGACATGTGACGTCAGTAGACACGTGATGTCGGTAGACATGCGATATCAGTAGACATGATAACAGTAGACATGTGATGCCATTAGACATATGACATACATGTGTGTTTTTGTTTTCATACTTATATACTTTTCAAGGCAGTACAAAAGATACAACATCAAGGAAACTTGACAAAATGGAAATCCTGAAAATAAGAGGAAGTGAGGATGTACCTATTTAGTTTCTGTTCATGCATTGCATTTTAACAATTAAGATAATGTAAATACGGCCTGTGACGAATACGATAACGACACAACATGAAAGTTCTATAAAGGAACAATAACATATTAAAAATCCAATAATAGGTTAAATAAGGAAATATACTCAAATATTAGATTTCATTCTTAAAAACAGTTATATAAAAAGGGTAAAGTTTGAAACAGCGCAAGAAACACTAGATCCTAACTATTATCAAATAAATACATACATTAAAACTGTCCATCTAATAAAACTGGCTCCTAAACTTAACAATGGGTAGTTAGTGAAGTAGTAAAGGGTAGAACGGACTAGAATACACAGGTATCACATAAACCAATAGTTTCAAATTAGAAATTATATACATACAAAAATAATCTTAAAAACTAACTTTTTTTTCCCCAAATGCTATTCACATAAAAATAATATTTCTTAAAGTGTAAAATTGACCTTCAAATACAAATCCCCACAAGTATTGTACAATGATATATAAATGAAGTAGTGAGAACGGTTTATCCCTAACAGTCACAGCAAGTCTACCTATGAGATATTACAAGGGGAACACATTTTGTATACAATGATAATTATACTGCTAGTACACATGTACAACATTAGTCTATGGTGGGAATGGTCTCAAGCTTAGCTATAGATTAGAGTCTAATGGTGAAAAACAAGTGTTACCTACAACAGCCACAACATACCTTTATCAGGTAAAACTACTACCAATAAGGAAACAAATCCTTTTTTCAATATTATTATATAATTAAAATATCTTTTTTCAGAACATTTTCAATTAATGAAATGTACAACATCATTGATACTTTTTTTTTAATATTTAGCAAACATATACCTAGGTGTAACAATTTTGTGTATGAAAAACAGAAATATTTACATCATAAAATGTACATGCTAGCGACATCCAAACCGTATAAGAGGAACAACCAGGTGGTATAAATACAACATGTGTCTTTTAAGGTATAAGCATGGGTTGCAGACACTACCTGCTGTGACTGCCTGAAACAAACCGTACCCCACAGCCCTTCCCACCTAACATGGCGGCCCGAACACAATTGCGTAACAACAATGACTGGCCGAAACATTTCCGACATACAGCAATATCTAATCTATGTTAGTGATGAACCTCACAGTATATAGGACCGGAAGACATGGGTTAAAATATCATTAAATAGATTGCACTGGGTTACTTTTATGTTAATGATAAATACAATATATCACTGAAGAGCTATTTTGTGGTACAAACATGAATCAGAGAAATAGCACTAGCTATTGTAAGTATTCAAATGATCTAGGATTAAAACAGATTATTTTAATGATGACCAAATTAACGAAAGAATCTATAGTACAAGTTGTGTGGCCCATGGTCAGACAGATCATCCTTCCTTGGAATAACATGTAACAGACACTATGTTGTTCCTTTGGTTGTAAGTGTAAACTACCATATTGTTTCTGTTTTAATGTCAAAACAGAACACCGACATGATTTGGTCGTCATGGTGTTCACTGTCAGCTGGTCTGACTGAGTAGGGCTTCAATGCAGGCGCAGTAACACAGCATGTACTGGTCCTGTAAAAGTACAGAAGGGCATAAACAGATTGTCACAAAACATACTAATGTATACGGGAAGCTTTCGCCCAATCAAACCTTTACCAGTAAAATGTATGTTCGCCTAGTGTTAATCTTGCCCTTCACATGTTACTATTACTATATTTTATTTTATGATATTACTATATTTGGTATGCTGTTTTTCTTATATTCGCTGTCAGGGTAATTTTGCCAACACTATGGAGAGCAAAAATTACAAAAGTTAAATTGTGGTGGAAATTTCCCAGTATAAAATATGACAATCAGTTCAATTTTCTATGGTTAAACATGCAGCATCAATTTAGTCTTATTGGGTAACAAAGTGGTATACTTTAAATGTTTCAAAAAGGACAAAGGACCATATCACTATATAAAGAGGGACACAACATTCACCCTTTTGTTAGATAGACAGGAAAGTGTTTGTATCCGGTTAGGGCACATTCCTGATAATATATGGGACCTATTCCCAGATGATGAGTGCTGCACTGCTGAATTAACTTTCCAGTAAATGTGTATATATAGGTATTTACATGACTTTGGACATTCAAATTGATTTTTTTTCAATCATGTAGAGATATAATTTGTGTTCCTCCCCCCCCCCCCATTGACTTAGTGCGATCAATATATGTCATTTATGTAACCTTTGCTATGCCTGTACTTTATTGATATCTACTAATTTTCTAATTATTTGTCTAAATATTATTACATTTTTGCATGTACTCTTCATTTATGGAGGAATAAAATCAAAGAAGGAGGTGATACACTGCCTTCCAAAGGCCCCTAATTAAGTATGACAAGTTTGGTAAATGTAGGCGACAAAAAGCAAGGAAGCTATGCTGCCAACAATCTTTGGTATCAAAAATTAAATAGGGAGGGAGATATGCGCTGAGCAAACTTTGGAATAAAAAAAATGAACAAAGGGTGATAACTCTGTATATAGTGTGCATCAATAGTACCTACATTGTATTCCGACTCACCTTAGTCTGTATCATTCCAGGTCTCTGTCTTCTCAACTCCTTCACTATCTCAAAGATATCACACTGAAAACATAATGCAATATAATTTACTATGTATAGCGCTAAAGTTATCTTAATTTGTAATATTTCTCTGTAAAAAAAATCCTTTGTACAAAACCTTCAACAACAACATAGTAATCCAATGTTTATGAGGAGACTTGTGTCAGCTAATATTGGTCACAATGACCTATATATAATATGATGGTGTAGTCCTCTAAATGTATTTATACAAGTTTGATGACTATGGTATTTTTGAGCATCTGATAAATGGAACTAAACACAAATACCTACATGTAGCATGGACAGATGAAAAGCCCAACAAGGCAAACACATAACTGTAATTCCCCTCCACTAGTATGTCAAGTGCTTAAAGATGTACAATTGTATATAACTAAATAGTAAGGAACATCATACTAGATAACAATCCGACTGAGTCCTGTGCTGTGAGACTTACTGAACAACTGCGTTCTATCTGAGCCAGAGCCATGTCTATGGTGATGAAGGCTCCTGTCCGCCCTATACCGGCACTGCAGTGCACCACAAGTGGTCCAGTCGTGTGGTACCCATGCACCAATTGCATACACTGTACCAGGAAGATAAAGAAATAAAAACAAAATTGTGCAATATTTCTTTTTAAAAGTATAGACTTCAGATCCAGAACAATCCTTGTTTACTGGTTTTATAAGTATTGCTATTGTTTCGGTAGTGTTCACAAAATCAGATATCAGAAGGTTTTCCAGATATATTGTACCTGATTACTGACCCATACAGTTCTTGCAAGAGATTCTGATTTACTTAATATGTTGTTTTCTGTATACACAATCCAAATTTGAGAAGACAGACACTAAAATCATTATAAAATGGGAAATTTCATCCTTTAAAAAGAGAGCGAATTCAACATTTGAAAAAATATGTTACTTTAATACAGCAAGTTAAATGATAAATGGGCATCAAATTCAACAGAAGAAATAATCAGGGACTAACATACTAATGTTTTCTCAGTTTATATATTATGGTCTTTAGAAGTTAGCATGTATGTCATCATCAATCATACACAAGTGTTATGGAAGATTTCTACAGTATCCTACATACACAGGTATGGGAGATACAATTGTAAATCTAACCTACACACATATGAAATATACACAGGTGAAAAAGGTAGTTCTTTCCTATAAATACAGGTATGGGAGAATAGGTGTTTCATGCGTACCTGTAAGATAGGTAGGGCGGAGTCCGGGACACCGTGGTCTGGCCAGGTGATGTAATTGATGTGGTGTAGGTCCCGAGTCTCCCTTGTGGTGACATTTTCTATCTGAATGTGACGCACATCTAAGTGTTCAGTGGACTGGAATGACCTCAAGCTCACCTTGTATTGGCTGCATATTAAATGTTGTTTAGAAAAATTAATAATGTTTCTTCTGTATAATTTAATGATCTTATGTTTCCTAATTGTTCATTAATTTTTAGGTTAAATGTGATAATCCCAAAAACAACAACACATGTAGAATGGCACATTTTTAAAATGCTCTGATTGGTCAAATATTGACAACATTAAAAACACTGCACATTAATTGTTTTGGTCAAAAATGAACAAATAGTTCTGCATATATGTTGCTTGATTGTAAAATGAAATTATGAGGACTGAAATAAACTAGTTCTGTTTATATCCATATAATCAACAACTCGTTTTAAAGATATTTCATAAAACAATGAAAATTATCAAAATTCTAATGTTTTTCTTAAATAACAAGCAAAGGTCCTCTACATATAACAACTTCTTAATATATAGAAGTTCTCAATTGTAAAATTGAAGATTTCAATACATCCTCAGTTTAATTTTTCAATTTACAACATTTATGACAAAGGATTTCTCACATTATGTGCTCATGTTTGCCATTCAAAGTTCTGCATTTCTCTATTATCTTTGAAAACATCTATCCAATTCTGTTACTATGTTACTATACTAAGGACAGACTTGGTGCCAATCGTTTTAAATGTAGATTCCAAAACAGGCAATAATTGGTATCAAGGGAGCTTTTAAATATTAGAGGGTCCTCAGGGTTTGTTTGTTTGGCTTATATCTTTGCTTGAATCTGACATGGGAATGGCATTAATGAATTAATACACTGCAATGAGATATTACAAACTAAAATTGCATTTAAAATGTTTACATACATAAGAATGAGGACTGTGAAGGACTCACCTGTCACACACAAACAGGGGTGTCTCTACAGAATCAGGCCAGTAGCGATGACATTTCACTTTTCGTGACTCAACATCCTGGGTCAACATGGTGACGACACTGACTGTCTGTTCCCAGACCATCTGCCAGAAGTCCTCAGAGGTATTAGGTAGTGGACCCTGACAAGCTATGTAATGACACTCTGTGTTGGCCACACTCAGAATGATGTGGCTGGCGTTTATGTAATCATTCTCACTACAGAGCTCCACACGGTTCTGATCATCTGAAAGCAGACATGTTTATTTTTTATTATATCTGAAGTAACATTAATAATATATATAAATATTTGAGGTATCACTCAACAGAAACTTCCTTTATAAACACAGGTTATTTTTTCAACATAAACAGGAACATTTCTGTTAAAGTCTTGTTAGAACTGGTAACTCCCAGAAGACTTACATGGCAAAACATTTCTGAATCTGTTTCTGGGCTTATTCTCCAGCAGCCTTCCTACAGAACAGTTGTCTGTCATCTTGACCAGACGGAGCTCCTGTTGGAATAATAAATCATAATTTAACATTGCAATTATTGCAAACAATAAGATTGATTCTCAATTAAAACGTTCATGCCATTCAAGATCAAATCTTACCAAGTTGGAGAGCTAAATCAGATTTTGTCTATTTAAGGTCAAATATCTAGTTCCACACAGTTCAAGAACAAATTATAAGATCTGTTAGTGAGATATCTTCTACAAAAGTGGTAAAGTATGATATTTGGCTGTGACGATTGACCCTTTATGCTTGACCGATGACCACGAAAAAAAGGTAAAATATTTAGTTCAAGGTCAACAGAGTTCACAATGAAATTATAAGTTCAAACAGGATTGGATATCTCTGATGTACCTTATACTCTTCCAATGGATCGTCGTGTTCTATCTTGCGCTGAAGCTGTGGAATCAGACCTGTAACATTGGCAGCCTGTTCCTCTGTAACCATTAACAAGGGCAGAGAGCTGAGCCACCCGTTGGTGATGGGCTCTGGTACCTCTATATCTACTTTCCTTGCTTTCTGTTCAATAAGAAATGTTTTACTCAAACTGGCCTCCTCGTTTCTGTTATCTGTCTCTGCTGTGTCCACATCAGACCCAGGATAGCTCTCTTTCTGCCTTGTTGCCTGAGACATGGCTTCTGCCCTGTCCTCCTTTAGTTCGTTATGTTCCAGCTCAATGGTTTCCTCTGCAGCTAACAGTTTTTCAGCTTCATACACAAGTGCTTGTATGTCATCCTCCTCGGAGTCGTATATAGAGCCTTCCCTGTCCGACTCGGTGTGGGTGACAAGCTCATCAGGATTTACCTCCCTTGTTCTGTAGTCAGACTCAGACTTGAGCGTGTTCATGCCATCGTCCTCCATGATCACTGGTGGTGTCATCAGCTCCAGGTGTCTTGAAGGAACTCTAAAATATCACAGTAAAGACATTTTGGTTCTTGCTGAGAAAAATATTAGAATGTACCAAATAAGAATACCTGACAATTATAATAGGTGATGGGTTGCAATTGATAAATGTGATTATGAAAATGAAAGTTGAATTAGAAAAAAAAAATCCTTCTGTATGAAACTGCACTCAATCCTTTCCAACATTGATTTCCAGAAAAAGTATGACATCATATATATATATATAGATAACCTCTCAACCACTTCAATTATCATGTACTCTAGGATTTAATTTCACAAGTGGTCAGTGTCACCTTTGACCTTGACCTATGACTTCCATTATCTAATCAGTCATGGAACTTGCTGGTAAAGGGCATGTTTTATGATAAAATAAAAACAAAGTAAGCTCACATAGAAAGTGGGAGGTATAATAAACTGTGTAATATAAGGTACCTTGAGATAGTCAGTGTCACTCTGCCCTCTGCCTTCTTTAGCATGGCCACAGCCTTGGTATGTGTCAGGCCTACTAACGACTCTCCATTTATCTGTGTTCCAAACAGAAAACAAACACATCTCAAAACACTGTCAATCAGAATTTAGTTTATCAGATATAAACTATCTGAAGCTCATCATGAAACAAAGTCTGTTCAGTTTAATATCACTTGTTAGGAATATACAGATAATTCTTTGTTTAGGCTGTTTTAGTGAAGATTTTTCTAACAACCAGTATTGTATTTTCTGTTTTAGGAACTGTTCTACGATCTGAAGTTAAGATAAGATTTTTTCTAGATGATTGTACCTACCTGTACCTGCCAGTCCCTATGTTTGTACTGACCTATACCAGTCTGTCCCTATGTTTGTACCCACCTGTACCAGTCTGTCCCTATGTTTGTACTGACCTGTACCAGTCTGTCCCTATGTTTGTACTGACCTCTACCAGTCTGTCCCTATATTTGTACCTACCTGTACCTGCCAGTCCCTACGTTTGTACTGACCTTTACCAGTCTGTCCCTATGTTTGTACCCACCTGTACAAGTCTGTCCCTATGTTTGTACTGACCTGTACCTGCCAGTCCCTATGTTTGTACTGACCTGTACCAGTGTGTCCCTATGTTTGTAATGACCTGTACCAGTCTGTCCCTATGTTTGTACTGACCTGTACCAGTCTGTCCCTATGTTTGTACTGACCTGTACCTGCCAGTCCCTATATTTGTACCTACCTGTACCTGCCAGTCCCTATGTTTGTACCTACCTGTACCAGTCTGTCCCTATGTTTGTACCCACCTGTACCAGTCTGTCCCTATGTGTGTACTGACCTGTACCAGTCTGTCCCTATATTTGTACTGACCTGTACCACTCTGTCCCTATGTTTTTACTGACCTGTAACAGTCTGTCCCTATGTTTGTTCTGACTTCTACCAGTCTGTTCCTATGTTTGTTCTGACCTCTACTAGTCTGTCCCTATGTTTGTACCTACCTGTAACAGCTGGTCCCTATATTTGTACCCACCTCTACCAGCTTGTCCCATTGTTTGTTCTGACCTCTACCAGTCTGTCCCTATATTTGTACTGACCTGTACCAGTCTGTCCCTATGTTTGTGTCTACTTGTACCTGCCAGTCCTTATGTTTGTACCTACATGTACCAGCTTGTTCCATTGTTTGTACCTACATGTACCAGCTTGTGCCTATGTTTGTACCTACCTGTACCAGTCTGTCCATGACACACAGGCGGCCATCTTGCTGAGCCAAGCTTCCCTCGGCAATGGACCTGATAAAGACACCCGTTTGGTTGTCCTTCTCTGCTGTAACCAGGCTGATACCCAAATCTATACCTCTTGGTTTTTCAAATTCCACCTTCATCAACCCCACCTGTGAAACATTAATTTATAGTCAGTCAGTCATCCATCCCACCTAGCAAATACATATACTTAAGTGACCTTTTTATGTCATGATATTTGTAAAACCTTAAACAGAAATCCAATATTAAAATTAAAGTACACCAATTCATAACAAAACTTACGTCAGAAGCTATTGGTATTAAAAAAATGCTTTTTTAGATCCCCAAAATTTTACCTAAAAGACAACAACTACTCACATCACTGAACAGAGATACATTTCCTTCCAACTCTTCTACAGACGCCGGCCTTTCCAAGGGGGATACACCTCTCCCCTTGGTCACTGCTTGTTGCACTGCATTCTGGGAGTCTGAGTACTCACTGGTACTGCATTCTCCGGAGGACTGAGCTGCATCGCTCGTCTCCGGAATGTCAGATAGGGCACCACAAAGGTCCCTATCCTTACTCCCAAGGTACCTGGGGGTCTCTTCTTCACTCTCCGAATCTTGCTCATCAAGGTTTTTATCCTGGCCTTCCAAAAAGGAAAATAGAGCATCTGTCTTCTTGACAGCTTCTCCCTATAATAATGTTATAAGCATTTTGTAAATAAAAACTGTTGGTCTCTGCAAATTATCAAATTCTGATGGATTAAGAATGTCAGTTTCAAGAATTATCACTGATGACTTCTGATCAAACACTACCATCTATTTTGGTTCAACATCACATGTGACTTATAATAATTTTATATTCATGTCAGTTACCAATTCCTGCTAAAAAGTAAAACATTTGCTGTTAGTACCTGGGAGATTGGCTCTGTATCGCTTTCTCCCATGTTGTGATGTGAAATGTGTTCACTACCACTCTTCTCGGAGTTATCTGCTCTTGGTAGCTGGGGCCTATAGACCCTCAGCTTGACAAGTTGGGGAGCTTGTCTGAGGTAAGTTACTGCCTCGAAATGGTTCATCTCGGCCATTTCAATATCATTTACCTGGAAAGAGAACAAGTAACTGTAAACAAATCTAAAACCTGATTCAAAAGAATACAAATCTTTATACGGGTTTTAAATAATGCATTCTGATTTATTTGTCATAAAAACCTGATGTAGCCACCAACTACCAATATTATGCTCAAACAAACATATAAAAAAGATATCTTAAAATTGTGTTGATAAGTTACGTTTACAGGTGTGTTACATTGTTAGCGATACGGTTGACACGTTACAGGTATGTTACCTTGTTAGCGATACGGTTGACAAGTTACAGGTATGTTACCTTGTTAGCGATACGGTTGACAAGTTACAGGTATGTTACCTTGTTAGCGATACGGTTGACAAGTTACAGGTATGTTACCTTGTTAGCGATACGGTTGACACGTTACTGGTGTGTTACATTGTTAGAGATACGGTTGACACGTTACAGGGATGTTACCTTGTTAGCGATAAGGTTGACACGTTCCTGGTGTGTTACATTGTTAGAGATACGGTTGACACGTTACAGGTATGTTACCTTGTTAGCGATACGGTTGACAAGTTACAGGTATGTTACCTTGTTAGCGATAAGGTTGACACGTTACAGGTGTTACATTGTTAGCGATAAGGTTGACAGGTTACAGGTGTGTTACATTGTTAGCGATAAGGTTGACACGTTACAGGTGTGTTACATTGTTAGCGATACGGTTGACACGTTACAGGTATGTTACATTGTTAGCGATAAGGTTGACACGTTACTGGTGTGTTACAGTGTTAGCGATAAGGATGACACGTTTCAGGTGTGTTACATTGTTAGCGATAATGTTGACACGTTACAGGTGTGTTACATTGTTAGCGATAAGGTGACACGTTACAGGTGTGTTACATTGTTAGCGATACGGTTGACACGTTTCAGGTGTGTTATATTGTTAGTGATAAGGTTGACACGTTACAGGTGTGTTACATTGTTAGCGATAAGGTTGACATGTTACAGGTGTGTTACATTGTTAGCGATAAGGTTGACAGGTTACAGGTGTGTTACATTGTTAGCGATACGGTTGACACGTTACAGGTATGTTACCTTGTTAGCGATACGGTTGACACGTTACAGGTATGTTACCTTGTTAGCGATAAGGTTGACACGTTACAGGTGTGTTACATTGTTAGCGATAAGGTTGACACGTTACAGGTGTGTTACATTGTTAGCGATAAGGTTGACACGTTACAGGTGTGTTACATTGTTAGCGATAAGGTTGACACGTTACAGGTGTGTTACATTGTTAGCGATAAGGTTGACACGTTACAGGTGTGTTACATTGTTAGCGATAAGGTTGACACGTTACAGGTGTGTTACATTGTTAGCGATAAGGTTGACACGTTACAGGTGTGTTACATTGTTAGCGATACGGTTGACACGTTACAGGTATGTTACCTTGATGAGTTTGTCGCCAGGTCTGAGCCGGCCATCAGAAAGTGCAGGGTCTTGTAGTATACCCTTGATGTAACAACCCCCGGTCCTACCTGCTCCACCTGTCACTGTGAAGCCTAAACCTTTACCTTCAGCCTTCCTCAAGATCACTTCTAATTCCTGCCAAATTACCACGAAAACATAGAAATGGTCATATCTGTTACAGCAATAGGCATATTTCATTGTCATTATCAATAGTTTAAGTCATAAAAGGAATATGAAGCTATTATCCATTATTATAGAAAAGCCAAAAGCATGGTTAATATCTTTAGATAACAGGTTTACTTAGGCAAGGATGAAGAAAGAAGAAAGATAATAATAATAATAATAATAATAAACTTTATTTATTGAGGATACAAAACCTAGATTGTCAACCTATACTATTTGAGAATGTTCCTCTCAATATAGGCTATCTGTTTTCTGGGAACAAATGTACACTTGGGCTAGTGATGAAATATGAAGCTTATTGCAGAATAAAAGGAAATCACAGAAGTTGTTAGGAATTGAAGAATTTGGAAGTTTTACAGTAGCTGTGAACCACGATCTAAGTAGATAAGATTATTACCCCTGGTTGGAGAACAATATCATCGTCTTCTTCCTCTGAATCACTCTCTTCCTCCTGTAATGAATTTTGAGACTCCCGGAGACTTTGGAACTCTTCGCTCCTGGAGGTGAAGTGTCTGGGCGACACAGATCCAGACCTCTCTGACTGGGCATCATATTCAGTGGAGCTGAGGGTTGTCTGTGTAGCCCCTAGTTCCTGGTCAGACAACCTTGTATCCTTCAATGGTGATCTGACAATGGAGTTGTCTGACCTCTCACTGCCCTGTGAATCTGGACTTGGTGATCTTTCACCTTCCTCTTGAAATCCCTCTTCCTCATCACTGAAGGTTGTGCTTACCTCCAGTGACTGCTGAGATTCTGTTTCATCTGCTAAGGACCAAACATCAGTTCCCTCTATGGTAGGGGGTGGACTAACTGGCAGTGGAGGTGGAGGACATTCAGCTGACTGATCTTCCTCCTCCTGTTCCCGTGGCGATGCAAACCCTGAAGGGGGAGTTATCATGGACTCTCTGTACAGGACTGGCTCCCCCTCAGATTCGGTCTCGTACGGTGAGGGAACTGCCCTGGTAGTCACTGTATTAGGTGACAGTGATGATTCACGTGTAAGGGGATTCTCAGTCTAAAAAATAAAGACAGAGTCTATATATTGGAGAATTCTAATATTATTCATCACAGATGTTGGAACATGTTCTGATTTCTTTAAGAAGAAATTAAATTTCCAGGTTCTTGCCATTTGCTAAAAGCATAAAAAAAACATGTAAAATAAAATAGCTGACAAACATTCTACTTACAGGATAAAGCCTAGTACCTGTACTGCATTTGTAACATAATGGTTACAGCCTTGAATAAGTGATAGATTATGACCAAAGATGACAGTCCTCACATGGTAACCACTAAGTGGCCTAGAAGCTTAAACTCTACAGTCAATTGTTGGATTTAATGTTTTTTTAATTAGCTCAGCACTAAACCTGGTACTAAGAAATCAGTGCTTAAAAAAACCAATAAGTAATAAAAAATATATCAAAATGTAAAATGAATAAAAGCATGCAGGAGCTATCAGCATGCAGAAGACAAATCTAGAAAAAGTGCTGAAAATGTATCAATCATACAAACAAGTAAACATTGGCTAAAATTGAACATAATCATTAAACTGTCATGATCTTGCTCCTAGTGAACCCATCCCTACATCAAGTTCCTTCACTTAAACCGTCATGTAAAAAGAAAATACCTTAATGTTCCCAGTAAACCCCTCCTACACTGAACATATTACCTGGTATGTTCCTCCTATGGCACCATGCACTAACGATACCTTAATATTCCCAGTAAACCCATTCTGACACATATTCCTCTAATAGGTTATAGCATCTCATCATGAACTAACTCGTACCATATCTTCCACATAAACACATTACTTCACATTTTCCTCTCACAACTACATGTACCTACTCATCATATGTATGTAATACTTTACCTAAATAAGTATCAAATGATGATGATAACTCAATGATAATCTAGATTTCATACTCGATTAGTCTAAAGTTCTATCCTTTAAAATCTGACATAAACACAAGTGAGAAAATTGTTCACTGAGCATGAACTGAAGTTGTAAAACTACATATGTCGGACTTAAAGTAGATTTTTCCTGCTACAACATTCCATAAATCTTTGCATTATTACAACATACAATGCATGACTGTACCAGGTATTTAACTAAAACATTAAGCTGTGTATTAAACATTCCTGTATCTCACTCATTATGAAACCACTAATATTAGTACAGGGAACAAATGTACAACTTAAATACAGGTACATATGTATCTTAAATTGACATGTGGTATCTGACCGCAACGTGATGGAAATTATGTGTTTAGATAAACAGTGCTCTTACTAACATTTAGGTTGAAATGTATATATTGCTTCATTACTTTGTTGTCAAGTAAAACACCAAATGTCATATATTTTGCACATTAACTTAGTCATGTGATATGACCTACTGTGACGTCATCAAATGAATGACGTCAGATTATAATATGACATTGAAATAAAGACAATAGATATGGAGTAAATATCACAAGTTTCAGTATTTAAGCGTGGAAAAGTGTGGTTTAGCAACATTCACAAAAACCTTTATCATGTCAAAATAGTAACTTAAATTACTTTTCTATTTCTTATGATATTTATGGTACTTGTAACAATATTTGTTTTTCCTTTTATCAAAATTACAATGAAAATTCTTAGACTTGATTCATAATGTCATATGAAATAGAAATAAACCTATGTAAGATCACACAATTATACAGTGAACCTGTTATAGTTTTTAAAATGTAACATTTTCCAATTGTATAATTTTCCAATTTATTCAAAGCAATGTTTTGGTCCCATGTAAATCATTATTAAGAGATCAACTGCATGAAATGAGAACCACTTATATATTAGGAATCCACATTTAAAACTCACTATTTGAGTTATTATCATCTCAACTGAACCTGCATTAAAAGGGCTGGTCGGGGAAAAAATTACAAAATAAATGGGTCTAAATGCGTTCTCTGGCCTTCCAAAAGTTATACCACAGCAATATGATGGTTGAGTTCTGCTTGCAATGTCCAGTTTTGACCACTGAAATCTCGGGGAAGCCCCGCGTAAATTTAGCGCAGATCTATTTATATATGTCATGTGGTTGTTTCAAAAGTAAGGCAGTGAAGATAACAACAATAGCACGCCGTCATGTGCCATGTTGGACTCAACCAGCGGACAAGACAGCAATACTATACGTAAATAATTGTTTTCAAGGGTCATGTATGATGCAAGTGTAGCATTCCTACCTATATGTTGTTGTTATATATAACGGTTTTGATACCTTGTGCCTGTCATGACTTTTGCGTGCATCTTTTTCTTTCGCCGCGATGTTTACATTTGGCCTCGTTGATGACGCGCGTGCGGTAAAATTACATCACTGATCTGTGTCAATTGAGAGTTTTAGACTGTCAGGTGACGATTTAGGATTTCTTTAATATAATTATAGCTTTTAATCTTAGGGAGTGAATTTCAGCAAAATTTGAATCGGTATATTTCATAAGAAGGTATTTTAAACATGTGTATGCCATTTTAGCAAATATGACATTTTTTTCCCCCGACCAGCCCCTTTAATTACCTGCAATACAAGACCACTACATGGAGTTCACAAAGGTGATCTCCGAATACATGTTTGACTGTACAGTTTACTGTATATAGGTGAAACATTCCAACAATTTCAATGTTATGAAGATTTTGCTGAATATATAAAATGTTTGATAATTAGAATCCCTTAACTGAAAACAATTTGGATTGTTTACATCCTTCTGTCAGTGCAGTACCAAGCATATATACAGTTTACTCCAATCTCATACAGATTTGTTGTCTGATATTTGTCCCGCCAGCATGCTTGGTTACTTTAAGTATTTTGTTGAAGCAAATGCATTCATCTGTGTTATTGTAAATATATCTCTTAAGCATAATAGATTCCCCCATGTATGTTATATGTGTGTACCTGAAGTATAGAGCACAGGTGTAGTGATGTACACACACCATCCGTGCAGGTTAGACTTGTTAATAAAGTAAGGAGTACAGGGTATGTGCAGTAAAGATAATACCAATCCTACCCAGCCAATATCACCATAACAACTTGTAAAATGTTTGTGACAATTGTTCACCTGCATTTAAACCATAAATTATTGAATTAATTTGATGGTTGGTTGGTTGGTGTCAAATGACTGTCCAAAAATTATACTGTTTTTCAGATGTTGCCATCAAATTTCGTAATTATACAGTGAAACTGACTGTATAGTAATTATACAGATGATGTGGGAAATGAATTTGAAGTGAATATGATACACAGTAACACATGCGCAATATGGACAGAAATATTATATATTTTCGCTTATAACAAAGTTATGCTGAGGAATTGTCAGTGACGACAAATCCTGTAATGAATTTAATTACAGTAAATGTACACATTTTAGCGGTACGCTAATTTCAGCGCTTTTCCACTCTTAACATTGTGCTAAATTTTGACTGTGCTAATTGAAGTTTCTGTATGCAATTTCTTATTGCTTATATTGTGATTTCGCCAATTCATCAATGGGCTTTTCTGGTAAAATTTGATAATACGCTTAATTTAAGTCCACTGAAATAAGTAATTTCATAGTACAATGAAATTGTCCGTTATAAACATGTCTTACTGTAGAAGATTAACTTAGCAATGATATGGTATGACTATGTAGTAATGTGTATGATGATATACAGTAGATGAAGTCAGCAATGATAAAATAGATAACTATAAAACAGCAGCATCAGCGGCGTCTAAGAGTCACAGCAAACCTGACGGTGGTCGTACTTACAACTGCCCCCAGGGGGCGCTGGTGGGGCCGACACATCAGCAGAGTGACATGTGCTGAGGCTGCCCGCAGTGTTGCTAAAGTCTCCTGCAATGTAATCACCATGCTACTTATACTCCATGCTCCCTGTCTCTACACTTCCAAACAGTATGTTATTATGTACTTACAACTACGTTCGTATTTCTTTCTAAAGTGCTGACTCAATAAAAAACAAGGTGTTCATTTTAACACTCCTGTGCAACTCCAAAAACCAAAAGAAATTAACCATAACCTTAAGTTTTTAAACTAAAACCGTGCAGGTAAAAACATTTCTTGAAATAAAGTCATTGTCTGAAATGTGAAGCACACCATAATCCACATGCTTAGTGGTAAAACTTGTCATTAAAACATTAAAAACAAAACAAAACACAAATTAGTATGGTCACATGATAAAAAGTTCACTAACATGTTTCCAAAGTCCCAATGAATACGGTTTAGGGTATAAATATGGGATGTTAACTTGAAAGAATCACTTCAATTACAGATCAAATTCAAATAAATGAATATAAAATAAGTATACTACATACTACACTAGGAGGATAGTGACCAGTCACATGTAAGGGGAAGGTCCTGTAGTACCAGATCTACAGGGACTAACAGGCTAATGATGTATTCCCCAATCACCGGCCATTACTGAAGAAAAACAAACTAGTTTATATCTTCATTTTTGAAAATAGGCACCACTGTAGCTGTTATAGACATCTATGCTGTAAATTCCCAGATCCTGTTTTTGTATGTCATTACAATGTGCCTGTGTTGAGGACATTGAGAGTTGGTTGACAAGGTACCAGGATGAGGAGTCCATCACCAGCCTACAGACCATGCTCCCCCATCTACTACTACACAACAAACACTTACGGGCAGGCTGAGGCCTTTCACTGGATGTCCATTCACCTCCAGTATCACATCCCCCGACTTGATCCTCCCACTGTCAGCAGCAGGGCCAATAGGAAATACCTTCTTGATACACAGGAAGTTGTCTGATGCGTTGGGTGTGGGGTAGAGGTCTCGGGCATTCTGTACACTAAAGCCAAGCCCACTCCTGCCTCGCTCCAAGTCCACAGTAAACTGGTCCTCTATAAAAAGATGATAACCTTCATCATGAAATTTTTAAAAGAACATATCTTCTGGCAGAATTTCAAGTACGTTATAATCTGGCATTCATTCTGTAATCAATGAATTTGAATTTAAATGTAAATTCTTAAAGCAACTGATAAGAGTGTAAAATATTCTAAAATAGCCACTACAGGTAATATGTGACTTTTTAGAGCAATTCTGACAAGTACACAAGAGTATTATGTCTACCTGCAGTATCAAAGCTGTAGCACTGTGATCCCTCAGTGCCCTGTAGGCTGGTTGCTCCCTTGTCGTCAGATTTACAGCTGGACGGAGAGGAGTGGGATGGTCTCACCTCACTAATGGTAAGGTCCATAGACTTCTTGCTAGGTCTGGCAGCAGGTGTTACCACAGTATTTGATACTGTTTTGGGCAAGAATCTTGAACTACTACTCTTCCTAGGTAGATTAACCTCACTGTCTTCTGTAGTTGCCAGGGGTGATGACCTTGAACTGCTCCTTTTTCTCAATGGATTAGCCCCTGAGTATTGCACTGACTGTGGAGATAACCTTGAACTACTGCCCTTTCTTGACCTCCTATCCTCTTTATCTTGCATTGCTGTTCGGGGTGATGAATTTCTCCCTTCCCTTGCATGACCCTCGACATTGTCAGCTGTCGCTGCCAGTGGAGATGACCTTGAACTACTGCCCTTTCTCATCTTGTTACTACCACCACTGCCTAGCACTGAAGTGGATGTCTGCATCACATCTACAGGCACTGACTTTGCTCGACTACCCTTGCTCGAGTTGCTGGTTTGTAGTGGTTGTGGTGCTGGTGATGACCTATTGGACTTGGACACTCCCTTTGCAGCTGGGAACTGACCTCTTTCCATCACCAACTTGCTGATGGGAGGGGCGCGACACAAGGCTTCCACTGCCTGTTTGTGAGTCTTTCCAACAAGGCTCTCGCCATCCACAGACAGAATTCGGTCCCCTGTAACCAGGCAATGGTGTATAACTGTCATACACACAATACAGCTAACACCCTTACTAGGAACATTTTACTTATAACTAGAATGTCTTTGAGACTAGTCTCACAAACATTTAACTCTCTAACATAAAGGAACCAATTCCTAGTGTCTCTTGTATTCTGTAAATCTAAGAATTACACAAATATTAAATCCAAGTTCCATACATTTACAATGCTTACAAAAATATATAAGTTAATATGTGTATAATGTTAAGTAAACATTTCATAAAGTTGAACCTTGCAATTCCAATTACTCCATGGTACACACTTCTAATATAACCACCTCTTTTAATACAGCCCTCCAGTTCTGCAGCACTGCCAGGTATCAGGGACTTAACGAAGATCCCTCCTTGTCTTACAGACGTGTTCACACCTCCCTGAAACACAAACAACAGACTTGTATACCTCTTTCTAATCACAAGCAACATGTTTCAATGTTAACTACATAAAGAATAGGTTTCAACCCTGCTAATGACACTACTGGACAAGCATTGGTTTACATCCTTTCCTACAACACAAATGACAGGTATTCACCCTTCCGACATCAATAACTACAGCTTTCAGTACTCAAAAGAAGGTGCTCACCCTAAATATCTCTAGTTAAAACAATAGAATCAGGCTCTCTTTACAGGCAATACAACTAATGTATATTTATAGTCATGGACTATTGTGGCACTGTTCCTTTACTGTATATCAATTACACAAGATTTTTAGATTTCATTTGTTTTACATACAGTTACATTAAGTCCAAAGCTTCCGTCCTTTTTCTCCAGGAAAACCTCAAACACATCACCAGGCTGGAAATCATCACTATTCACACTGAAATCAAAAATACCCATATACATCAGTATTGTCAACTGTTAAACATTTACACAGTTGGATAATATCAAATGTACAAAATGTTAGTTCCAATTTGTAGCAATTACAATACCACTGACCTTTACCTATGACCTTCACATCATTAAAAAGGTCATTGTCTTTTACCCCTGTGATCTTTGTATCAATGACAATATCAATAAACTTTACCTTTGACCTTTGTTCCAATGAACTTTACCCCTGTGCCCTTTATTTCAATGGCTATTACAGACTCTCCACAGTCTATACTGACCTAGATGTACTGGTGGTCCTTTGCTGCCCTTGCCTGTGTGTCCTTGGCCTACTTCTTGGTTTCACAGCTTCCTTAGTTACACCAAGGTCGGAGTCTGTTCTTGACCCGACCTCACCTACAATAATTACCATAGTCACAAGGTAACATGTACTGCAGCTTTTTATGCATCTGTCCCACAGTTTATGTTAAATGTATACTTGATTTACAATGAAGTTACTTAAAAAATTATATTTGACAACACTGCAAGATTGTTTAAATGAAAGATATTGTAGTCTTCAAAAAAAATTCTTTACACCTCATTTTTTTTTATCAGCATTGTGTTCTAATATAAGGACCCCTATTTTAAAGGGAAAGAGCACAGGCTGAGTTGGTCGGCCTGGCTGATACCCACCATACTTCTGCTTGTTAAGGTCCAAATGAAGTTCTGCTACCACTTCACCATGAATGGAGTCCACATGAGATGTACTGTTCACTGAAGTTATATGTGGATTCCTATATTTAGATTTGCTTTCAGAGTTCAATGGAATGTTAGAAACTGTAGCTGAATTTAACACTAACTGGTCCGATGGAGAATGATAATGATGATTCATAGAATTAACTGCTGCTTCAACAGGTAGTTCAGTAACCTCTTCCTCTGTTCCAGGAAGATAATCGTCTGAATAACGTGATAATTGTGAATAGAGTTTAACATCATAGGGATTAGAATTTGAAAGTCTGAGTTTTTCACGGGTTATGGGATCATCATGTTCTCTGCGGCGGAGAGAGCCGGGGCACTTGACCTGGGAGATAAGAAGTTTGACCTGAGAGCCCGATTCTCGGATCATCTGTACCGCAGTGTGGTGCTGACGACCTTCCAAGCTCTGGTCGTTTATGGCAATTATCCTGTCCCCTGGGCGGATCCTTCCGTCGCTATTGGCAGGGCCTCCATGGGTGACAGACTTGACAAAGATGCCTAGGTCCAGCTTACTGGTACTCTCCCCACCGACAATGGTGATCCCAAATCCTGTGTTGGGGTCCTTCCCCAGCACAACCTCAAAGATATGTCTATCAGGCTGTTCTGGGGACACCTCACTGCTGTTCAGGCGGTGTTGTAACGTGGCTGTAAACAGTAAGATATATTACAACTCCTGAAAATATTATATACATCTATAAAAGTTGGTGGCAAAACAACATAGGGCATAACTAACTTCCTAAACAACATAGTACAGATACTTTACCCTAAGCATGACATTGCACTGCTATATAGCAGGGGCATAAATATAGTTACAATGATCACATTGAGGGGTTTCTCTGAAATAAGCTGTGACAAAACTTTACACTTACCACTGATACTTTCATTGAGCACTGACTCGTCGACCAAATCCACGGACTGAGTGGTCATTCCTGTGAATAAAAACATTCAGTGTGATACAGTTCTGATGCGTAAATATATTCATCAAATTGTCTTACTATGAGACAACATAAAAGATTCTAGGATATTACCCCCAAATCAAGCTTTAAATCACTTAAAAATTCAGAAAAAAGCAAACTGCAAAATCCATTGATTGATTCTTCAGCTACATTAACTTGCCCACTATATATAAGACAGGCAGACTCCCTGAACCTACTACTTCAACAAGCCCAACATTGTTGCAATGTGACCTCTGACCTAACAAATTTTACTTGCAAATCTTGGTTAAGTGTCATGTCACTGTAGCACATCTACATTGGTCTATGAGGCTCCTCCTTCTGTACCTTTTAATCCTCAGTTACTTTGTTTTGATATATATCTTTTAGTGCAGTACATAACCATACTTCTTGTTTATAATACAGTTACACCTTTTTCGTAACCCTTCTCCCTAATTACTTACAGTACAGGAGCTTCCTGTGCCCCTCCCTCTGTTTACCTAGGACAGGAGCTTCCTGTGCCCCTCCCTCTGTTTACCTAGGACAGGAGCTTTCTGTGCCCCTCCCTCTGTTTACCTAGGACAGGAGCTTCCTGTGGCCTCTCCCTCTGTTTACCTAAGACAGGAGTTTCCTGTGCCCCTCCCTCTGTTTACCTAGGACAGGAGCTTCCTGTGGCCTCTCCCTCTGTTAAACTAGGACAGGAGCTTCCTGTGGCCTCTCCCTCTGTTTACCTAGGACAGGAGCTTCCTGTGGCCTCTCCCTCTGTTTACCTAGGACAGGAGCTTCCTGTGCCCCTTCCTCTTTTTACCTAGGACAGGAGCTTCCTGTGCCCCTCCCTCTGTTTACCTAGGACAGGAGCTTCCTGTGGCCTCTCCCTCTCTTTAACTGATGCATGAAATTCCTATTGCCTCTCCTTCTCTGTACTTAGTAACGAAACTACCTTGGCCCCTCTTTCTGTTTACCTATAGTACAAGAGCTTCATGTGGCCCCTTCGCCTGTTTACCTAGTACAGGAGTTTCCTATGGCCATTTCCTCTGTTTACCTAGTACACGAGCTTCCTGTGGCCCCTCCCTCTGTTTACCTAGTACAAGAGCTCCCTGTGGCACCACCCTCTGTTTACCTAGTACAGGAGCTCTCTGTGGCCCTTCCCTGTTTACCTAGTACAGGAGCTTCCTGTGGCCCCTTCCTCTGTTTACCTAGTACACAAGCTTCCTGTGGCCCCTTCCTCTGTTTACCTAGTACACGAGCTTCCTGTTGCCCCTCCCTGTGTATCTCTTCAAGAATATCGCCTGTGGATGCAGCATGTGTAGGGCCTCGTCGTTTGTGGACGGGCAATGCATACTTTTCACGCAGGTCCATCATGCTGACACTGGTATCTGCCCTGTATGGCGGGGGGCTACATAACACATGCAATAAAATGTATACCATACAATCAAAACATGCTCAAATCACTCAGTAGGTACCAGATCTCAGCATCCTAGAGAAAAAAACAAGTCTTGCATAACCATTAATATTTTATACATGCCAAATGCCAAATAACATTTATTTGATTATTCTGGAATTATAAATGAGGTCATATTTCAAAAGAATCAGTTCAACATGCATTTGATCGGTCACCTGGATTGTGTCTTTTGAAAAATTACCAGAATTATTATACAGTTTTAAAGATGCCATGCCAAGCAATCATTAGTTATAGGTATTCATCAAGTTATGATCAATGTATTATTAGAAAAAGAAACAGCATTCTGTTATATCAGGATCAAATAACAAATAACATGACCATATTAAAAGTTCCTTGACAAGATGCACATACACCTCAACCAAATCAAAACATCTTCGGGTAAGTCAAGTATTCTCCTTACACAACAGAACTCTCTTGGGTGGATTGCTTTTATCAAAACAGGTAGGTGCAGAATTTTCTTTATAAAACAGGATGCCAGAGGATGGGTTATTAGCTTAAGTACTCTCTATCAACAGGACTCACTGGTGTGGGTAACATTATTTTTTTTTAATATCTTTCTGGAATAGGTCCGTTATTTTCTTTCAAAATAGGTCTTTTTTCAATTTGGCCTAGTTAGTGTCTTCACAAACAACTGTTTGTTTTCATTATATACAGCTGGAGCATTCCACAGACCCAAGGAAGTTCATGTAAACTTGTCAAATATTTCCTGTTAGACAATCATAGGAAAAACTAGAATCCCTGTTTCATGCTTTTGTTGCTGTGGAGCCCTATTACATTTTTCGTGTAACAGACTGAAGAAATTTCCACTGAAGAAAAGCACAATATAGGGAAACGAAAAAAAACACATGAATTATGGGTTGTCATGGTAACAAAAGGACAGGGTTTACATATGTTAATCAGACTTCAGTACACACAAAACAGCAGCCTACAGAGGTTACAAACCTTCCATGATCTCTAAACCTACTGAAGACATAATTCAATACATGCCAGGACTACAGATTTATTACGCCATAAAGCATCGCATACATGAGGTTTTATCAATATCAATATCGTAACATATTGACATCCAACATTTCAATACTTCTGTTTGAGATGAATGCTTCTCAGTACAAATTCAATTTACCTGTATTTCGAAATTAAAATAATTATTATCCAAAATCAAAACAAACTAGATTGGGTTTTATTCTTTATACTCTGAAACAGGTAAATTAAGGAAATTGGATTGGTAGAGGCTGCACAACTAAAAAGCAACCAACAATTTTCTCATTCTCTTTACAAGGTATCAGCAAATCCATGTACATACAATCACACACCCATGCAGAATTGGTGACACATTCTAGTTACTTACAGTAAGTATGGGATTGGTTGTCTGTCAGTAGTCATAGCAACAACTACACTGTGTCCATCTTCACTTTCAAAACTTGCCTATAAACAGTGAAAATGTAACATTTTATTTAACATAAAGAATTAACCAGTAACCTAGCAACTTATTCTTGTGTACAACATGACCTACATAGCTACCTCCCCAGTTATGTCTGATTTTATTTGGTTTTGTTTTATTTAATGTTCTATCAACAGCTAAAGTCATTTAAGGATGTGCCTCCATGTGTTTTGTGGTAGTGCGGATCTGATGCCGACTTTATAGTGCTATCTCACTGAACTGCCATGCTGAAAGCACCAAGCAAAGCATTCTGCCTAGTCAAATTGTACTGACAACGGGTGAACCAGTATAAAATGAATATAGTACCTCCCCTGTTATGTAATAATAAATGTGCAATATGACCTATATAATTACCTCCCCTGTTATGTATATAAAGAATGCATACCTGTGGACTTTCGTCCTCTTCCAAGTCTACAGCCTGGGTCTCAAACGTTGACTCAGTATCCATAGACAGATCTGTTAGAGATGGCATTATGATATAAAGTTTACACAAGTTTACAGAAAAATAGTCCAGTTTACACCAGCATTTTCTAGCAATCAGTCCATTCTAGTAATTAGCCCATGTGTGCTATTCTAGTTCTGTAATAATACCACCACTACATTGTGTCGGTGATCTTGTATTTGCCACCTGGGCTTATTGTAGGATAGCTACGCTACCAATATCATCTGAAAAATAGTTTTGGACAATCATCAAGAGATTACAATAAATACTAAATCTTTGGTAGATTTCAATGGAAGTTGAGAAGTATCTGACTCACCCAAACCTTGGGCATCCAACTGTGCCTCTCTGGCCTTCATCTTAAGCTGAAATCGGTGTTGCATGGTGGAAAACTGCAGCAGGTACCGTCCCCTGTAAACAAAGAACACTTACAATGATATCTGTATAATGAAATGTTAAAATGAATCCAAACTTGAATAAAGGATTATGAACTGAAATTAAATATTTTTTTTTTATACAGTACTGCAAATAAGGACATTTTTTGAGAAGTACTATTCCATAAGCTGCTGTTTCCTCAACATTTCATTCTGACAGTTTACAATGGGTATGTGTCAGTATGAAACCATGTACATTACACTAAAACAGGTGTACTATTAACACACAGCAACATTATCTGATGGTCACAAAACAGAAACATTTGTCTATATGTTCTAATAGAAGATTAGGTTAGTGGGGTTTTTCAAAATGACTTTGGAATTTATAGAAATGTGTTTAAGAAATGATCAACATAATTATGTTAATGTATTATGGTGGAATATATAATGAGGGTGAGAAACTGTTGGGAAAATAATTGATGAAGGCCACTTCAGCCCGAAATAATTATTTTTGCAACATTTTCGAATCCCAAGTTATATATTCCACCAAAATATACAAACACATATGTTGATTAGATCTATTCTACATATGAAAATGAAACTGAATATCCTTTACGTCGACTTTAGTGCCCAGCAGGTGAGGTGACCTAGATAACCTAACATGTAAATAGCACCATTTTTATGCACGTTCAAACATCGGTCATGTGATGCCTTTCCATTCCACCAACAAGATGATGTAAGTGCCAGCCTTACTTGCGGTAGCTGTTGGTGTAGTAATTCATCTTTGTAGGTTTGCCCTGACCATGGTCTGGTTTGGGTTGGATGCTGAAGCGACGCTTGTTGAATGATATCTTCTGGACCATGTTCCATGCGTACTGTTGGTCGATGGCACGCTGTAGGCCCTGGTTCTCGGCCAGCACCATACATTTGACTGTGATTCCCATCCACATAACACTTGTAGTGTCACTCTTGTTCTGGGGAAATCAACAAAAGCAACAATGTTACCATGCACTTACTTTATCAGAGATTATTTTGAGATCAAGATTATATTTGGATATAACAACATTTTTTTCACCAAAATGTTGTGACTTTTCCCCCAATTGAAATGTACTTTTGGAAACAGTAAAGAAAAGAAATAATTATTTCAATGTCATAATCTACATTATTTTGTTTTCCTTAAACTTCCATCTGATGAAATTTTTTGTATGATGACTTACAGATTTATATGGTGGCCCCTTAAGTGACACAGTAAATATATATAAGCTGATGATTCCTCCAGAACATACAAAGCTGTTCACTAAAAGTATGAAAATTTATGTTTGTGTTATGCCTACCTTCAGCAGTTTGTAGAAGTGGACTCCGTACTCTGGTAATTGTTGGGCTATCTGTAAATTAAGCATAAAAATTACAAACTATCACAACGTTGTTACAATATGCCATTGTCAAATGTAAGAATATATTTAAATATTATTGCACAATTATCTTTTTGTACCAACATTATTATAAACTCAATCTGTCAAAATCTCCCAACATAAAAACCTTTATTTTATTTTCATTTATCTAGAATCAATTGAATTTTTACTTTTGGACCAGCCCTCTTTACCTTGATGAATTCCAGTTCACCCTTCGTCTCGCCCATGCCTGCTGCCCTCTGGTGGAAGTCTGGGGTGTTGTCCCGGATGTAGCCGATGCCCACACGCTTTACTATCCTCTGTGGGTAGTAGTGCTCTGCCATGAAGTAGTTTCGCCCCATGGTGTCATGGTCATAGTCACCATACTCCACCTGTAGAGCGAGGGCTGACAGTGTGAGGGCTTTGTCCTCGTTACACATGGTGCGCTCCTCCAGTAAGTCATGGCGGAGTTGTAAGTACAACAAGTGCCGTGAGATTTGGTGCCTGTTGAGTAAATCAGGGTTTACTTAGAAGAGATGTTCATGTATCATTGTTCATAATTGATGTACAATTCAATATATGATACAATATACAATAGAATGTATTTTATTTTAGTGACATGTACATGCATTATAATTTCATACTTATAATACTTAATTAATAAACATTTCTAGGACCAAACCCAAAGGGTATATAAGTCACTTTTATTTACCTTGTATATTAACCTGCAGACTTTAACGATAATGATATACATGTCATTGTTCATAATTTACATACATAGTTAAGTCTTTTGTTTAAGTTTGGTGAAGTTTATAAGGTGGAAAGAAAGTCAGAATGAAAGAATGGATGAAGAGATCTATATAATCGTTGAAACTGCATCATTTATTAATTAACTAAAGATATATAAGAATGATTATATTATATATAATTCAAATATTATGTGAATTACAATCCTACCTGAAGAGGAGAATGTTGTCAGGGTAGAACTTGACACGGAGGTACAGAGTGAAGGTGATAGTAGGCAGGTTGCCTTTCCACCCCTCCTTCCAGCCGTCTGGTGCCACTTTGTGTAGCTTCATCTCAGGGTCCACAAAGAAGTGCTCTCCATCTACACAACAAAGTAACAGTGGCTACAAGGACACACACATACTGACTGTATAAAATTAACTTTCCCAGCAGTGTAATATCTGTGGGCTGTGTATATACAGTATTACAACAACAGAAAGATGACATGTTTTTTTTCCTTTACCAGTACATGTAATGTTTTATTTTACAGAATTTCAAACATGTATTATGTCCAAAGTATGATATCCGCTGATCATGTTTTTATGACTTACCACTGACATAGTCGGTATGATATCCGCTGATCATGTTTTCGTGACTTACCACTGACATAGTCAGTATGATATCCGCTGATCATGTTTTCATGACTTACCACTGACATAGTCAGTATGATATCTGCTGATCATGTTTTCGTGAATTACCACTGACATAGTCTACATCTTACCATGTTTTTGGTTTTTTTACTTATCACTGACAGTCTTATCTAGTTCATCACCTGATCATGATCCGTATTTTTGACTTGTCAATGACATACTCTTCATCTGATCATGTATATTTTGTTTTACTTACCACTGACATAGGTGAGACCAAAGAAGAAGAATTCAGGTAGTTCTATGTGTGTGATGACCGACTCAAACAGCTGCTGACCGGTGGTGCTGGGGTCACACATGACTTCCAACTTCTGACCAGTTAGAAGGACTATTACAACCCGCCTTGCATGAGATGGGTTCTTAAGGCTCTGTGGAGAGAAACATATAACATAAAAACATCTGGCTTAGCCATGTCTGTTGTAGAGTCAAATTCATCTGATGAACTAGATACTAATTTACAAAATACACAGGCCATATATTAAATCAGATATATTTCTTGTTTTTAATTCTAAACTTATTTTTCTTAAAATCATTAGTTGCTGCCTCTTCTATTTAATTAATCAAGATTTATTGAAATTTTTTTGAATGATGAAATATTGATTTTTTAATATTATTTAATAAGGAAAACTGTCTTAACATTGACTATGTTAACAAGGTAATCTTTGTGGGATGCAATGTTAACAATTCATTAGATGTTGCAGACTTGACTACAAGACTTACCTCCCCTTGTAAAGGAATTGGCACTCGAATGATTGGTTTGCTGGCTTTGTGAACAAACTCTGGACCATAATATTCCTGTAAACAGTAAGTATACACATTTTCTTCTATTAAAATATGTTCCTTGATGGCTATACCAAACAAATAATAAAACTTATTGTAGAGATTCATGAAAGTTTACAAGTAAATATGCATATAAAAAGATTAAAATAGGAATTAAAAACAAAATTAATCATACAGAATAAAAATAATTTGACAAAATGTCAGTATTTTGCCCTAGGAGAACACTGACCCTGGGTGTCCGTGGTGATGTGTTGGTGTGAGGAACTCTGACCTTGGCCTTGGCACCCCTCTCTGGCAGTGAATGGTGACCTTGATCAGTGGATCTGAAATACAGGACAGGGTTAAAATTTACACAGATTTTTTATGACATCCTTTATAGCTATCTTTTAATTAAATCAAACAATATCACTATTAATCTATTGTATGTTCATGTAATGTCAGGATTCCAGATATATAACGAGTTGGTATCTCTTCCATACCTACTCCCAACTGAATTTGCATCAATGCTAATAATGATAGGGATAGCTGTAGAAAGGTAATGCTGTACAATACATTTACTTGATACTTGATTACTTGTGCCACTTTTGTTGCATTTCTTGGATGAAATCCAACTAATGGTAATATAAATAAAAATCTGGTAATATCATTGGCAGTGTTTCTGATATGCAGGAAATCCTTTTGTTACATAGGCCCGAGATTATACACATATACACTGATGAAACCCGCCACGTCCATTACTTATATCAAAGGAAAATAGGACTGTAATTACACAATGGGAAACTAAAAATACTTCTGACATTTTGAGGTTATTAAATGTTAAATAAACAGTTTTGGGACCACGAGTCCGCTGAATACAGGGATAGTGTATTACATACTGGCAGCAGGATAACATTACAGAATGTTATGTATGACTCATGCCCAGGAGAATCTCCGTGTAGCTCCATCAGGTCCCGCCCTACCATCCCAGTCTCACTGATACAACCCTGAACATGTCACCCTCTCTCCTATAAAGCTGTCTACTATTCTTACTCAACAGTTACAGTGATGTATGAGCCTAAATCTAACATTCAGAAGTTATAATGAAACCCTATATAAATACATTAAAACTTTTTGAAGTGAACTACACAAGACAGATAGTTCATTGAAGTAATGGTCTAATTAGTGTTTCATGTCTAAGTTATCATCTTTATGTTGTAAAAGTATGCCAGATTATGTATTTCCCCTCCCAAAGTTAATGGTCAATTATAGGTCTGATTGGTGTCAGAGACTTGTTCCTCCTACAAACAACCTTCACTAATAAACATCGAGCCACATCACCTCATCATAATACACACATACTAATCATCATACACACAGTAACAGCCAACAAAATCCCAATACACACAAGTACACATCATCTTACACACAGTAACAGCCAACAAAATCTCGTTACACACAAATATATCTCATCTTATAGACACAGCATTTTAGGCTCACAGCATTTCATCATACACACATACACTTTATCTAACACACAAATCTCATTAAACACACATACACCTCATCCAGCACACAGAATGGCCCACAAAATCTCCTCATACACAAATAGATCCCATCTTTCACACAGCAATTTAGTCTCACATCAATTCGTCATACACACATGCACCTCATCTAACACACAGAATGGCCCACAAAATCTCATTTAACACACATATACCTCATCCAAAAACACCCAGAACGGCCCACAAAATCTCATTATATACAAATGCTCACATCCACTAGCACAGGGAGTAACAGCCAAAATCAACTCGCAATACACACAGTAATATTATAAAGGAACTCATTATACACACATACATATGTACACCTCAACTTACACACAGTAACGGCTCACATCTATTCATCATATATACATGAACCTTATCTTACACACAGTAATGGGCCACATCAACTCCGCACAGAGTAACAGCCAAAATCAAGTCATCGTACACACAGGAAATGGGCCACATCAACTCCTCATTATCATACACACAGGTATGGTCCTTATTACATCATCATACACAAACATATTATATAGATCTCATCATACAAAATTACAAGTAAATCACACTGCATGTCGTGTACAAGAATACAATCAAATACTTTTTGTAATCAAAATGCATTTTCCAGATTCCTGTATAAGACTTAATCACTTTATAGTGTGGTGGGAATGAGAATTACTGCATGGTGAACTGGTGATGTACTCAATACACTGGCATTGAGTACACATTATTAATCAATGTTATATCTGAAATAACTGAGGGCAGAGCAAGCCTGACATTAGCCCAATCTGGTGCCAGCATCAAGGAGATGAGGTTTTTTGGTTCACTGATAATTCCGATGTTTCCTGCCCCCTAGACGTGCATCTATGAGATACTAGAAAGTCTTTCACTGGCCTACCTGAGATGAACCTTACTGGTTCAAGAGGCTTTTAAGTCCTCATAGAAATGTAAGGTTTAATAAGATACTAATCTCTATCTCATTCCTTACTAAATTCCAGCCAACAGACAATTCAGATACATTGCCGTATCCCACATGTTTCACATACACTACCTTAAATCTTTGACCAGATAACGAGGTCCTTCACATTTCATATACAATTTCCTTCTCTATTTTACTCTTTTTTTTCAAATTTTTCTTTATCATTTTTAACTAATAATCTTGTTCCTAAGAAGGAAATATCTGCAATTTCAAAACAGCCTTTCACTTTTATATTCAATTTTTATCATCCATGAACATATTGGGTTGTTTCCACATATTGGCACGCTACAGGGCCCGCATTAGTTACAATGTATATGACTTTCACATTCATGGTTAAATACTACTAATGTAAATATATATCTATACTGAGTCAGTATTCAACACTGCCCATGTTATAAAGTAACATGGTATTTGATAATGCTTGCAGTTTGTACCACAATATCCTGTAACATTGTGAATCATTGTAGCCTTTACCAATTCACCATGAAAGTTTATACATGTATATATATAAAATGCCATGAACTACATCAGTGTTCAGAGCAAGCCTTAACGTAATGATAGGACCTGATGGCTCCACAATTTTCTACAGCTGTGAGGGCACAAAGGATACATTTTACATCTCTTCTTCCCGATAATAGATAAAATAGCAACATCACTTTCCCTTCTCACCAAATATTTTGGTGTATTCACTTATCTTTATGACAAGAAAAACCAAAATTTTCTTAGACAAGTACGCATACAGTTGGTGTCGGGTAACGACATAAACACATGAACACTGACAGTGATGCTACCTTCTTGCACACACATGCCTGTTGAGGCAGATACGTCTCCTTATTTCCCACATATCCTATCAGGCAGGTATCCATTCTGAACAAGAAACACCCCACAGGAGTCTGGGTGAGGAGGGAGGCACCTTCTGGTGCTAGACCTATCACTGACATAGGAGTATTACAGACTCCATGATTACAGGTATCCCTTTACCTAGAGACCCAAGGACGACCCAGTATACCCTACACGTACCTACAGTAACTGTTGTTGTACATGAAATATTTATTAATGCCAGCCACTCCATACGCATATGTAATTAATGGCACTTTTGATTTCCTAATCTCATATAATATTTAGACAGTGATCGATATATACAGTGTAAAACACTTGATGGGACTTTGGCTCCAGTCTATGAGTAAATCATATACTTACACCTGTATTGTATGTTATTACCCCAGGGAAATAAGAGGAGCACAAAACTCAGTGTTCTGTACTATAGCTAATTAGTATGGTAAGTAAGGCATGACCTATAAAATCTACTGTAACTGGCATGACATTTTGAGGTTAAAATCAATTAATGTCTCGTTGTTATTTTTTTAATTTTGAATGATGAAATAAAAAGCTATATTACTGTTTAATATTTGCTACAATTAAAACTTGTATTTTTTCTGTTTTACAAAGATGGTCCAACTGATATAATGTCTACTGCAGACATTAATTACTCAATGACAAATCATAGTTTTACCACATGTACACAGACTACAGTTATACAGCACAGGTAAACATCCTATCTATCTAATTGCGACTATAAAAAGTAACAGGGGTATTTCAAACAACTGATCGTACATGAGATCAGAATGGCAGCTGGATTGAAGGTTCAGCTGTTCAGATAGGAGAGTGACTGGTGAAGAGATCTCCAAAGTGAGATCTGGAGACTGGATTTAATGGCCGACTTTAACTGAATTAATTTACAGGTCTTAGTGTGAGTATCTGTTCAGACAGATAACTTTTGAATTCCACCTGATAAATCTGGTTATACAAACACAATGCTGACAGCTCAGCATCTAGTTTTAAGATGATTACAACATTTTTGGGACTGTTGCCAGAACCTTTGTGATTTTGGTCACAGCCTGTAGATCTAGAGTACAGAAAGTGATTAACTTTAACAAACTGAAGAGTTACAGAATCAGGATAACTTACAGGAAGACATGGAAACAGAATAACTTACAATGTAACATACTACAATACAGCCTTAACTTACATAGTAACATACTACAATACAGCCTTAATTTACATAGTAACATCCTACAATGCAGCCTTAACTTACAAAGTAACATACTACGATACAGCCTTAACTTACATAGTAACATACTACGATACAGCCTTAACTTACATAGTAACATACTATGATACAGCCTTAACTTACATAGTCACATACTACGATACAGCCTTAACTTACATAGTTACATACATAGGAACATACTACAATACAGCCTTAACTTACATAGTTACATACTACAATACAGCCTTAACTTACATAGTTACATACATAGGAACATACTACAATACAGCCTTAACTTACATAGTCACATACTACGATACAGCCTTAACTTACATAGTTACATACATAGTAACATACTACAATACAGCCGTAACTTACATAGTTACATACTACAATACAGCCTTAACTTACATAGTTACATACTACATTACAGCCTTAACTTACATAGTAACATACTACAATACATCCTTAACTTACATAGTAACATACTACAATACAGCCTTAATTTACATAGTAACATCCTACAATGCAGCCTTAACTTACAAAGTAACATACTACGATACAGCCTTAACTTACATAGTAACATACTACAACACAAATACAGCCTTAACTTACAATGTAACATACTACAATACAGCCTTAACTTACAATGTAGCATACTACAATACAGCCTTAACTTACATAGTAACATACTTCAATACAGCCTTAACTTACATAGTAACATACTACAATAAAGCCTTAACATACATAGTAACATACTACAATACAGCCTTAACTTACTTAGTAACATACTACAATACAGCCTTAACTTACATAGTAACATGCTACAATACAGCCTTAACATACATAGTAACATACTACAATACAGCCTTAACTTACTTAGTAACATACTACAATACAGCCTTAACTTACATAGTTACATACTACAATACAGCCTTAACTTACATAGTCACATACTACGATACAGCCTTAACTGACATAGTTACATACATAGTAACATACTACAATACAGCCGTAACTTACATAGTTACATACTACAATACAGCCTTAACTTACATAGTTACATACTACATTACAGCCTTAACTTACATAGTAACATACTACAATAAAGCCTTAACATACATAGTAACATACTACAATACAGCCTTAACTTATAATGTAACATACTACAATACAGCCTTAACTTACAATGTAGCATACTACAATACAGCCTTAACTTACATAGTCACATACTACGATACAGCCTTAACTTACATAGTTACATACATAGTAACATACTACAATACAGCCGTAACTTACATAGTTACATACTACAATACAGCCTTAACTTACATAGTTACATACATAGGAACATACTACAATACAGCCTTAACTTACAATGTAGCATACTACAATACAGCCTTAACTTACATAGTCACATACTACGATACAGCCTTAACTTACATAGTTACATACATAGGAACATACTACAATACAGCCTTAACTTACAATGTAACATACTACGATACAGCCTTAACTTACAATGTAACATACTACAATACAGCCTTAACATACATAGTAACATACTACAATACAGCCATAACACTTTGGTGTGGGAGTTTCATCCTGTAGCTATCTGCCTACCTTTTTGTATTGGAGTTTCATCCTGTACTTTCAACTGACGTCAATGGGTATACTCTTACTAATTTATGGAACAAAAGACGTATGCACCTCAATGGGTACTCCTGCTAATATATATGGGGAAAAGTCTGAACCATCTAAAATACTTCTACTGGCAGATAATATCTGAGCAAAGACCAAAAACACAAATTTTAGTGACAAATTCTTGGCCTACCTCAATGGATAATCTTGTTGGTAGGATGAGAATTCACTGCTGACGATGCTCTCTCTGTCCGAGTCTCGCCCCACCCTCAGGGCCATCTCCGACCCATACTGCATGTGAAGCCCGGGCAGGTAGGCACCTGTAAACAGTGGGGGAGTTAGGGGAGGTGGCCATTGTTTGTATCTCATGCAGTACAACAACTAGTATTTCATTGTTTCAGGTCAAAACTATATAGAGGTACAGGTTATATTACAAGACAGCATTATTTCATTTATTTGTGAAGTGCATTATAGGGGGATATTGATTGCTGAAATCAAAATCCATTTATAGAACCAAATGCCACACTTATCCTTAGAATTCAGAGATATTTAGAAAGTACTTATTATTTCTGAGATCATACTGAAATTCATTTTTTTTTAATAAAAACTTTCTAACAACATCAATATGTGCAGGCAGAGTAGAAGCTGTTATACATATAACCACCCACTATCATTAATCTTCACCGGGCACTTTTTAATGTCATACTGTTAATGACATAATGTATTAAGGTCACAATGGCACATTCTTAAGTACATATTTTCCCAAGGATTTGACATTTACAACAGACAGATATAAGTTATTTTGATAAGTAATTTTGATATCATTCCAAACTAATGTCTGTGATATGTGACCAGGCTGTGTACTGATGGTGTGGTAGTGTATATGTGTGTAGAGTGACGAGTGGAGGAGCCATCGTGCATATACAGGTACAATATGTACATGTTATAGTAATTAACATAGAGGCTTAGTGGCACCTGTTACATGTCAGGAATCTATAGTAGTATTCTTTACAGTCATCTAACCTTCACAGGACATCGCAAGCATGTATGTGGGACACATCCCAAGTACAAGGCACAGCAAGGATGCTTACCATCAAGTAAAGGGTAAAGCAAGCATGTGTGTGGGACACATCCCAAGTACAAGGCACAGCAAGGATGCTTACCATCAAGTAAAGGGTAAAACAAGCATGTGTGTGGGACACATCCCAAGTACAAGGCACAGCAAGGATGCTTACCATCAAGTAAAGGGTAAAACAAGCATGTGTGTGGGACACATCCCAAGTACAAGGCACAGCAAGGATGCTTACCATCAAGTAAAGGGTAAAACAAGCATGTGTGTGGGACACATCCCAAGTACAAGGCACAGCAAGGATGCTTACCATCAAGTAAAGGGTAAAACAAGCATGTGTGTGGGACACATCCCAAGTACAAGGCACAGCAAGGATGCTTACCATCAAGTAAAGGGTAAAACAAGCATGTGTGTGGGACACATCCCAAGTACAAGGCACAGCAAGGATGCTTACCATCAAGTAAAGGGTAAAACAAGCATGTGTGTGGGACACATCCCAAGTACAAGGCACAGCAAGGATGCTTACCATCAAGTAAAGGGTAAAACAAGCATGTGTGTGGGACACATCCCAAGTACAAGGCACAGCAAGGATGCTTACCATCAAGTAAAGGGTAAAACAAGCATGTGTGTGGGACACATCCCAAGTACAAGGCACAGCAAGGATGCTTACCATCAAGTAAAGGGTAAAACAAGCATGTGTGTGGGACACATCCCAAGTACAAGGCACAGCAAGGATGCTTACCATCAAGTAAAGGGTAAAACAAGCATGTGTGTGGGACACATCCCAAGTACAAGGCACAGCAAGGATGCTTACCATCAAGTAAAGGGTAAAACAAGCATGTGTGTGGGACACATCCCAAGTACAAGGCACAGCAAGGATGCTTACCATCAAGTAAAGGGTAAAACAAGCATGTGTGTGGGACACATCCCAAGTACAAGGCACAGCAAGGATGCTTACCATCAAGTAAAGGGTAAAACAAGCATGTGTGTGGGACACATCCCAAGTACAAGGCACAGCAAGGATGCTTACCATCAAGTAAAGGGTAAAACAAGCATGTGTGTGGGACACATCCCAAGTACAAGGCACAGCAAGGATGCTTACCATCAAGTAAAGGGTAAAACAAGCATGTGTGTGGGACACATCCCAAGTACAAGGCACAGCAAGGATGCTTACCATCAAGTAAAGGGTAAAACAAGCATGTGTGTGGGACACATCCCAAGTACAAGGCACAGCAAGGATGCTTACCATCAAGTAAAGGGTAAAACAAGCATGTGTGTGGGACACATCCCAAGTACAAGGCACAGCAAGGATGCTTACCATCAAGTAAAGGGTAAAACAAGCATGTGTGTGGGACACATCCCAAGTACAAGGCACAGCAAGGATGCTTACCATCAAGTAAAGGGTAAAACAAGCATGTGTGTGGGACACATCCCAAGTACAAGGCACAGCAAGGATGCTTACCATCAAGTAAAGGGTAAAGCAAGCATGTGTGTGGGACACATCCCAAGTACAAGGCACAGCAAGGATGCTTACCATCAAGTTAAGGGTAAAGCAAGCATGTGTTTGGGACACTTTCTGTCTCGGTCACATTTAAGCAATGTGTACTGTACAGGACAGAGCAAAGATCTTTACAATCAGTCACAATAAAGTACAGAATATAATAAGCCAAGAGTTGCATGGGACACTATATTATACTCTCTCAGCCACAACAAAGTACAGAATGTAGCAAGAATATGTTTGGGACACTCAATGTGTCAGCTTCACAGACCCTTCCCTATACAAACTACAGGACATACAAGTAACTGTATGGGTGGGGTTTCAATGTGGAAGTGGTCAATCAGACTGATGAAGTTTCCCTAAATGTGTGCTCGGTAAATTGTGCTCAGGTGGGGTTCTACAAATGGTCACTATGATTGACAGTTTATTGATTCTTGGTACAAGAAGATACACCTTATCATTCTTCATGTATATATGTAAACGTTTTATATCTAGGAATGAAATTTGGCAATCTGTTAATTGAAAAATCTAAGAAAAAGGTTACTTCGGCCAAAATTGTCTTCTGAAATGAAAATGTTCCAATGATATGTCATTTCAATCAAGTTTTTATACCTTTTTTCATTAATAATACATTTATAAGGAATTCTAGACTGATGATATTCTAAACAAAGCCAACTGTGAAATTGACATGCTTCCAACAAGTAATGGGTGTGCCCTGGGAGGATTACATGGTTATGTATGGGAAAGTTTTGGGGTATTAACGTATTGGCAGAGCCTACTTGGTATGAGAAGAGGGTATACAGCTTGATGTGGGGATACTGGGAAAAGGGACAGGAAACTATTAGGCATGGGTAGATATTGGGTTTGGGTCACGTTGTATAAAGAGAGGGTGGGTGAGAGTTATAGGCATGTGGAAAGTAAATTGTGTATAGGGTAGCGACAATATGGGCAGCATAGTGAAGGTACGGATACAGGGTTAACAGGGTATGGGGTTGGGTTACTAGGTATGGGATAGAGACACCAAGTATTGGGTCTGGTCACTGGGTATGGGGTAGGGATACAGGGTATTGGGGGGCATGTAGTAGAGTCACTTGGCATAGGAAGGGACTCTGGTTTATCGAGTAGGGACAAAGGGAAATGGAGAGAGTTAAAAAGGCGCCGAGTATTAAGAATTAAGAACATAAGAAGAGGAGGTATACATACTACACAACAGGTATGGGGAAGAACCACTAGTGATAAAGTAATACAGCCAAAATGTTAAAACATACAACATACTCCAGAACAAGCAATACACATACAATTCCAAATTCTAAATGCAAAACTTGGCAGAGGTGCAGATCATAAAAATGGTTGTCATGCAGAACATCATAGTACTTAATAATTACAAACATTGGAACATCACGGTAATGATGCCAAAAATTTGCATCCACAGCTTGCCATCGGAAGAACGCTATTACTAATGGTCTGCATACTTGATTGAGACGGACATGTGTTCTGTGATTGTGTAATGTTCCATATGTCTGTAATGATTAATAGATTATATATTTATGACTGAGGTGTGTCATGCAGCATGCGTACCAGTACAAACTGTTAGGAGTGTTACCTGTGTTATCCCGTTCGGCCTCTGTAACACAGGGGGTCCATGCTAACATTTACAGTTTTGCATTCCATCATTATGACATAATACTAATTATCAAAATGCAATTCTAACATGCATAGGACGCAACGTCTATTAGAGAAATAAATGACTCTTCTAATATTTACTGTGAAATACTTATATTAAATGTATATAGTGCTTGTATTTACTGTAAACACTTATTTTTACTTATACTGTTCAGCATTATATTTACTGCATAGCACTTATATTTACTGCATAGCACTTATATTTACAGCATGGTGCTTATATTTTGCCAAAGTTTTACTTTTTTTGCTAAACTCAATGAAAAAATACATGGCGTAAAACCTGCAGACTCCTTATAAAGAAGAGTTAAATTAATTACTTTTTATGATGTTGTGTGAATTTTAAACCCAGCAAATTTGTTTTCAGTACTTAGATTGTAATATAGAATAAATTATTTCTAGGAGTTAATATGCTACAATCATGATATCTACACCTAGGAAAGAAGAGCACAGATCAAAAATTCAATGCAGAGAAATCTACACACAATTTATTTTAGTTCCAAGTTATGTTATCTTTGAAATTCTACAAAGACTACTCTGGGTTCATGCTCAGTTATGAAGTATACTGAAGTGACCTACCTTGGTTATAGGAGACAGCAGAGCTGATTGACCTTGTGTCAGCCAGATGATCGGCACGTTCTGACAGAGTGATGGGTGAATCCTCATCACTACCCTCCCCCAGCAAACCTCTTCGCAGCACTTTTAGTTTCTTCTGACGCTCCTTTATCCTCAGGTATTTTTCATATGCTGTGTTTCCCATGTGGGTTGCTCCCATGTGTCTGCCCCTTGGACTCAGAAGAGGTCCAATTCGCTGTCCAGTCGTTACCCCCGGAGACACAGATCCACCATTTTGTGAGAACGAGAACGTAATATCTGACAAGTGATAGGACTGACCCCCTTGTGATGACTCTGTCAAATCCAGCTTCAAGTCCGTCGGACTAGCAAGTTTGTATGGCGGTGGTGCAACCTGTCCTGGACCAGTATACATATTTTCAGCATCCTGTATGTGGACACCATTGACATCTCGATTAGTGTTTCTGGATGATGGTTGGTATCCTGAATCAGTTTCTGGGAGGAAAGATTCATCATATCAATATATTGTGATGAGGTTTGACAAAGAAAGTATGTTTTCATACTATAAACTGTGAGCAAAAACTTCAAGAACGACCCTTGCAAAACAAGAAAACTCCTGAAAGGCACGAATGTCTTTGCAGTCATGTTTTTCACATTTTTATAATTAGAAAAAGTGACTTTGACCTTGCCACTCTGAAGTACAAACTCAATCAAATAATTATCATGCTTGATATATACAGTTGAATATGCATATGACTTTTTTTACGTTCATTGTATGACACTGACTTGGTTCATGCTTTTTCTACAAATAACAATAATGACCTTAGCCTTGACTTTGACACCCTTTAATATGAACAAATCAGAGGTTTTTTTCATGTCACAAATTTTTATTGAAATCCATAAAGAAAGTCACCAGAGCAAGCAACTTCCAAATTATGAACGAAAGGAATTTATTTTCAAGCGTTGAAGATCTGATGTAACTTTGGACAATGAGAGGTTGGGGCATCCATAAACCCAATGTAGATCAACAAAGTGCTCCAAGCTTACCTTCATTTCCACTACGATGTCTTGACCTTGACCGTGACCTTGACCGTGACCTTGATCTCTGTTGCTCTCTCCTGTGGGAATACTTGTGTTTCCCTCTGGACCTGTTGGCTCTATTTTCCCGCTGAAAAGAGCTGGTTTGGCGGCTTTTGCCCTGGGATTGTGGCACAGTTTCCTCCTAAGGACAAATAGACAGGTTTGGTTGACATCATTTTCTACGCTTCGTAAAGACTTGTACATGTACTTCCATTACTATAGCTTCTTATATACACCAATGTATAAAGTAAGTATGTTAACCTAGGGCTTTTGTCACAACCCTTGGTGAAATTATCACATGTCTACATGTTCATTTTCATTTTTCAATTCATTATCCAACCTATATATTCCTTCCTGTCTAATCTCAAGAAAATAAATCCAAGGAGCTTTACATTCAAAGGAAGCTGGACACATAAACTAAACTTTGTCAGGAGACTGGATGCAGCCTTACATTTTACCATGTTATCCATTTTACCACATCTATGTATGTACATGTCTCCTGCAGGTTGTAGGGGTTATCTGTTTGTTATGGGTTTATATTTCTAATGGCTTAAAGTCAGTTATAGTGTCACACCACTTGAAAACTACACCCGAACAAGACATCCAGCTGGGTCTAAGTCAAATTTTATTTACACATGATACTTGATAGCAAGAAAGCTAACACAACATGCTAAAATGTTACTGTACACCTCATTGAGTTTTGTTGAGAGATGTTTTTCTTATTTTACGTTGGTTAACTTCAGAGAGGGTCAAGGTCATTAAATCAAACAAACATGATAGTGTGATATAATAAGTTCCTGTATGACATCTACATTACAAGTTTTAAGTTCCTGTCTCAGATATTAGACAGGTATCTGGGAGTCAGACATGACAGAGTCTTGTGTTTTAGATAAGGCAGGTTTTATTTCTGTGTATCAGAATAGGCAGGTTTTTGTTTGTCAGAAAAGAGGTTTAGCTGTTTTAGATCAGATAGGTTTCTATATTTTAGATAAGATAAGTTTATGTGAGTCAGAAAAGACAAGTTTCTGTATATGTGTTTTTGTAGGGACTGTACCTCGCTGCCACTGCCCAGTATAGTTTTGTACAGGCCTCTAGTACACTGGCTATGTGACCTCTTCTTTGTATACTTGTCTGCATACATATCACATGCCTGCAAAAAATAAATTACCATATAGTATACACATGTGTCAGGCCAGTCAAACCATATCTTTCCATTACAGCAGGTTTTTTTGGTTGTGTTTTTTTTTATCAAATGTTTTCCCAGAATTTCAAAATCTAAATCATTTTCCTTTTTCCTCTTTGATATAATTAGTTAAATAATTAATTTTCACACTTAAATTCCACGAGGAGAGTCCATAATGACAGTAGGTACAAAGATATTTAAAAAGATAGCAGACCATGTTATATTTCATGATTGTTACATATAGACATAGCTCTTACTTTCAACATCATCCTCATTTAATATTGGTTCATTGTACTTTGAATGATTTACGAGAAAATAGCTTGGCTATAATCTATAACATAATATCAGTTCATGATACAGACAAGACATAAATAGCCTCACTACCTCACTATCATTTAGTTTCCAATACGCCTACCAAACACAAATATTTATCTTCTTTTATCAAAGTGATCTTTTGATGTTTGTATATAGTTTACACTTTTCTCTCACTTTTCCTTTTAGTGCATTGCATTTGCTGTGTTTGAAGCTTAATATCTACCTCCAGCAGCTGAATCATACTGGGTCTCTGTGAAGGTACCCCTTCACACATGGAATTCAGAACTGCTTGCAATTTACTGCTAACCTTGGCGGGCTGCAAAAAACAAAGGTAATCTGTGTTAGGGAATAAACTTACTGAATCCACAAATTATAAGATTGGCAAATTACTGGGGAAAACATTTTTTCTATATCAGCTTCCATGTTCTAGACAATTTGTCAGTAAACATCCTCCTCTGAAATTCAAAGCCTTCAAAATTGTGTAGATACACAAAAGAAAATAATTAGATATGCATATTTAAAGCTACATATTTTTGGTTAGAATTAGTTTTGTATCTTTTTGTGATTTTCCTTTGCTGTCCGGTATTGTAGACCTTGACAAATGATCTTCACATAGATGAAAATCAGTATCACGTTTTTTTTAAATTTATCAACTGCAATATGAACTTTTAAGAACAAAATTCCAAAATCAAGAGCATAACTGGTTCTAACTCTGCATTACAACGATGGGTACAAGACTGTTCAATTTTATACCATTCTATGATGATTACTTCACCTTATCACAAAAAAAGCCAGAACAAGGTAAATGTTAAGGTGGGAACAACCGTGTACACGTCTCATTGAACACCTAAAGAGGACTTCTCAATGTGCTTGCATTATAAATAATGAGTTTAAGAACTACTAATGAGGTAAAATAAAAAATAAAATTTTTTTAACATAACAGATTGTGTATGTTTCTCTCGCGATAACCTTTCTTTGATCTTCACTAAAAAATAATCATTTCCCTGCAGGCTGCTGGGAAAATCTGCAAAACAGTAGTCTTAATTAACTCAAAATTTAAATAATTTAAGTAAAATTTGTCATCAGACGTACCATGTCAGGAGATGATGACAAAATTTGTTGCAAAGAACTTTACTACTGAACTGCATCATTTATATATGTCCCCTAAGATAAATCCACTCCACCATGGCAGAAGTAAAACTGGGACTATTATTTTAGGTTTTACAGTACATTATCATGATGAACGACCCTTCATCATCTATTTCAAGCAGAACCACGCAAGTCTGTAACTATACAGAAAAATCACCATTATTTAAGCATCAAAAGCTAACAGTCTGCTGAAAATGTTTGCCTCTAAGTGATTTCACATAAATGTTGAATTGAGTAAGTCTTAAACACTGGACAGTTTGTCTAGAAAAAGCCTTTAACTCAACCAGTAGGATTTTATCATCCGGTTACCTACAAGGAACACCTCCTTTGAAACTAGATCATCCACTTTCTCTTTTTTTTCAGTCACTGAGGACTGTAATGCAGAAAACATAAAAAAGCACTAGATTAGATAAAAAAAATACACGCTAAACCCTGAGGGTATCCAAATTGATCATTTCATTGATTTGATATTCTGTAATCTAACAAATGGCCAAAGTTATGTCCTGACCCAGTTTCACAAACATTCCTATCTTAAGAAAATTCCTTTTTTGAGCATATAACTGTTTCCAATGGAAAGACCTAAGGAATGCCCCGATACTGGGGGATAGGTACAACGTATAGTCCTTTACAGCTCACATCACTGTTACCAGTCGTATGAAGGGTTATAGTGGTCTCCTTTAGGGTAAATCATGGATATCTATTTGTAGTTATCTCTTTAAAAGCTTGGGAATGCCTACATATTTAACATGGGTATGTATAAACTCTGACCAGTAACCCACATCACAATCATAGTTAAATCAAGCAGACATTCTGACTCTAAAATATCAACACATTTCCATATTATATTGTGTGGTTGCCAACATACTCCATAGTTTTGATTTTACACTGTGGATGTTTTTTCAATGAAACACAGCCATTAACACAAGGATTCGTTTTATAAGTCAGACTGGCATTTTGTTTCAGGTGGCCATGGTCATTACATCTCTATCTAGAGCATCAGCTTAAAATGAAACTAAATTCACTACATGATTTGCTTAACATTGATCAGTCAGTCAAGGTGGGTGTCCTGTAGTCAAACTTTCCCATTAAACTGCCAAACAGTGTTGATCTTGTTTTATCTGTAAACATATCTATATTCCCTCTAGGCTAGGATGTTCAATATATATATACACCACATTGAAGTTCTATCAATGTAAACTAGTTCTATAAATGTAAACTATCGTTACATCATCAATAGTGTAAGTTATTTGCCAAGGAGTGAGAATTTTCAGACTAGATATTCTATTGACCAGTAAATATATATTAATATATATCTGTCTATCAGTAGTGTTTACTCCATACCAGGTATAGAGCTAGCTGTGCCAGGTCTGTTTATACCTGGCCTGGCCATGTTTTATTCATAGCCCTACATTATTTATAAAGCCCCCGTCAGAAGTAAAACATAAACCAGGTGGGTTGGGTGGTACCCACTAGAAGCCACCCTCCCCCTGTGAGAGAAGCCAACCTCCCCCAGTGAGGACTCCACCAGATGTGCCCTGTCCATCTGCAGTCTTCCACAATATCACCAACACAAGACTTCTGATCAGTGCCTATACACTACTATACTACAGGGATGTTGTGAAGGAGCAATCTGATGCATGTAGTGGACAAAGTAAAAGAACCTTAATACCCATCTATTTATATATATTCACAGAAGATGGATGGTATCAGAATAGAGAGATTCAGTGTTAAATAGATGTGTCCCATTTTTGGGGTTTTATTGAGAAAGGCAGAGATGAGTGGAATTGGCTGTTTACCAGACATGTTGTATCTATAGCAGTCTATTACTGTCAGGTGTAGGGGGTAGAGTGATCCATCAGGTCAATTAGCCCACCACAGGTACAAAAGTTACAGGTATGCTACTCCTACTCATCAGTACAAACCTGAATATTCTTAGCAATCTATCGGTCATTTCTCTGGCCACTGACTGCAATTCTGAGGCCAGAAAGTATTTCAGTGTATACACATGTGTACATGCATTGTCATTTTCTAAATATTTCGTGTTTTTGGAACTATGTACCATAACATTAACAATAGTTCTCATTCATGAAAAATTAACAACTTACATATATAATTTTAAGTATCATTTGAAATATTTTACTAACCAAAATAAGACAGTTACATACACTTAACACCCAATGGTGAATATTAATAATACATGTTCTATAACAGATGATCACTGAAAAAACTGTGACCTCTGAAACAAAAACTGCATGTTTAACCTTTGACACATTAAAGTTGCATGTTCAACCTTCAGCACAAAAACGACGTGTGACCTTGAACACGAAAACTGTATATTTGAACTTCACAGAAAGAGTATGTGTGTTACCCTGAACACTGGCATGAGTAGATTAAACTTTCAAACAGAAATTGCTAAAGCATAATCATGCAAGTAAGGACAGAATTTGGTTCTGACACATTACCATGGGGTAATACAATAAATCAACACTTTGTGTGATGGTGTAAGTAGGTTTCCAGGTAAAGCTATTCTCTCAACATGTGGAGACCTGATGTGTGAATGAATGAACAAACAGTATGGTCTGATTCAATGACAGACAAACAAGAGAAACGGCTCTGTAGTACATGTACAGAGTCAGGTAGTAGTTGTAGGTGTATATCAGTAGGGTCATCAGTACCTTACTGTAGACATGGAGTGGTAGTATGGTCTGGAGTAATTTTATATAGGGTCGGTACATAGTGGGCTCTCCAGTTTATCTACACAAAACTCATAAACAAACAAAACAAAGATGATTTCCCTTTCATCTGAATGGTTCTGGACCATCCACTTGTGTTGCTGTCTGTTTGAGAGCTTCCGCTCATTAACATGCAGCTGTTCATAACCTGTGTGTCCCTGCATCATCTGATTCATCTCACAACAGGTAACTTGTAATAGAGTCACTCAATCATCTCACACCAGGTAACTTATAACAGAGTCACTCTATCATCTCACACCAGGTAACGTATAACTGAGTCCCTACATCATCTCACACCAGGTAACGTATAACAGAGTCCCTCTATCAACTTACACCAGGTAACTTATAACGGAGTCCCTACATCATCTCACAACAGGTAACTTGTAATAGAGTCACTCAATCATCTCACACCAGGGAACGTATAACTGAGTCCCTACCTCATCTCACACCAGGTAACGTGTAACAGAGTCACTCTATCAACTTACACCAGGTAACTTATAACTGAGTCCCTACATCATCTCACACCAGGTAACATATAACAGAGTCACTCTATCATCTCACAACAGGTAACTTGTAACTGAGTCCCTACATCATCTCACACCAGGTAACATATAACAGTCACTCTATCATCTCACAACAGTTAACGTATAACTGAGTCCCTACATCATCTCACACCAGGTAACATATAACAGTCACTCTATCATCTTACAACAGTTAACGTATAACTGAGTCCCTACATCATCTCACACCAGGTAACATATAACAGAGTCTCTCTATCATCTCACAACAGGTAACTTGTAACTGAGTGCCTACATCATCTCACACCAGGTAACGTATAACAGTCACTCTATCAACTCACACCAGGTAACTTGTAACTGAGTCCCTACATCATCTCACACCAGGTAACGTATAACAGTCACTCTATCAACTTACACCAGGTAACTTGTAACTGAGTCCCTACATCATCTCACACCAGGTAACGTATAACAGTCACTCTACCAACTTACACCAGGTAACTTGTAACTGAGTCCCTACATCATCTCACAACAGGAAACTTGTAACTGAGTCCCTACATCATCTCACACCAGGTAACGTATAACAGTCACTCTATCAACTTACACCAGGTAACTTGTATCTGAGTCCCTACATCATCTCACACCAGGTAACGTATAACAGTCACTCTATCAACTTACACCAGGTAACTTGTATCTGAGTCCCTACATCATCTCACACCAGGTAACGTATAACAGTCACTCTATCAACTTACACCAGGTAACTTATAATAGAGTCACTCAATCAACTCGCAACAGGTAACTTGTAACTGAGTCCCTACATCATCTCACAACAGGAAACTTGTAACTGAGTCCCTACATCATCTCACAACAGGTAACTTGTAACTGAGTCCCTACATCATCTCACAACAGGTAACTTGTAACTGAGTCCCTACAACATGTCACACCAGGTAACGTGTAACAGAGGCACTCTATCAACTTACACCAGGTAACTTATAATAGAGTCACTCGATCAACTCACAACAGGTAACTTGTAACTGAGTCCCTACATCATCTCACAACAGGTAACTTGTAACTGAGTCACTCTATCATCTCACACCAGGTAACTAATAACCTGTAAGTCTTTCCATTATCTCACTCTTGCAGAAGTTCTTAAAAAAGAACTGTAACTAGACTTAATAAAATTCCTAAACTTAACAACATATTGTCCAATAAATTGGGGGTTGGTGATGATGGGGTGCGGGGGTGGGGGGTATAAAAGCAGATTTATCAGTTACCTTGGTATTCATTCCAAGTAAAAGCAGAGAAAATTAAATAAATCTAAGACAATCAATCAGCGTTATAGGAATTACTTAGGCTCAGTGTAACGTGTCATTGATTCTGCAGTGAGATTTTCAAGCGACAGATAATTACCCTGACTGCAGCTGTTGAAGATTCAGGTGTGAGCAATGTGTAATCAATAAGTGTGAGTCAGATAAAGGTGTTCCCTGCCATCGGTACACTCTACTGTATACACTCTGTTTCCGGTTGGAGCACCTCCAGACAGGGGTGAATAACTGCCAGTGAAGATCTAGAGTAACTTATGTACCAGACTTCCATTTGACATATAGCAGAACTGATTTAGCGCCTCAATGTGGATCCCATCTGTAAATTCATCATGACTAGTCTCCTTGTGCTACCAAGCTATGGGCAAGGTATCACAAGACCTCACCAGTAGGAAATGACCAGTAATGACAGATTTTAGCTGTACAGGCCAGACAATCATCATACTTTTCCCTAAACATCGTAGGCCAGGTAATCATACCAATGTCAGCTATAGGTCAGGTAATGAATACATATAGACCAGGTATTTATAGTCACACATAGTCAGGTAAAAAGTTTAAAGCCAATTCAAAGTAGAGTGTCATCACCAATGCTAATTTGAATGGTATAATCAGTTTTCTTATATTAAAATAGCGATACTTTTGCCTTATATTACTGCCCCTGATGATGATCAGCCCTAAAACAACACTGTACTGTATACACAGTTTTGTATAGTAGATATGTGCATTATTCACCGAAACCAATCCTGATTTGAAAATTTGGATTTCTTCTTATTCTTAGACAAAAGAAGTCCATTTATAAGTATTGTATCTGACCAAAATTATCAATACATTTTAAACATAAGCTCAAAGCAACAGCGAATCAGAGTTGTGGGTTGCCTTGGTTAATTCAATTAGTATCTCATGGTCAAATGTACTATGACAAATATCAACACATTTCCTTTCATGGTCTGATATTTTAAACATGTATCATTTACATGTAGAAATACATTAACAAACAAAACAACTTATTTTTTCTGTATGGCTGTATTCAAACTGTAACTAACCTAGGGATTATATTCAATTGAGATTGTTGAAGTCATTGAGGACAGTGAGCAGTAGGGTATTACATCTGTGTGTTTGCTATGTTGTCTACCAGTAGTTCACCATTCGACTCAGAGTAAGAGTATAACAGACCATGACATGCAATACACGTACTTCCATACATACAACACATTAGGTAGCCATACACAACTTGGTTAGTATTACTGGCTTATATCTTCAACTCTGAAAACTTATTTCAATGTTTTAGTGATACATCTACTATACAGGAAATTGCTGTTTAACTGGAATACCAAATTTTATCACACAGCATATATATATCATGTATGTACTCTTCTATTTTAGNGGACGAAAACGGATAGCAATAGGTCACTTGAGCTAAAGCTCAGGTGACCTAAAAAGAAAGCCACATTCTCAAAGAGATGGCAATCCTCAAATCAAAGTTCTGAAACCAGGCTGTAATAAATAAAACACAAAATGTCTGCAGAAGTCTGCAGCTATAACAATATGCAAATCCCATGTCCAGGATTGCCAAATTGTACGCTGTCCAAACAGACTTTTATAGGGAAAACTTTCAACAGCTACAGTTGTTTATATATTTTAATATGTTCATATGATAGTGAGGCCTCCCAAATTTCAAGAAAAAAAAGCCTACACCTCCAATATGTGCTGGCAATGTACTATAGGAAGGCATTATTATACAGTATTTACAAAACTGTACAAAGAGGACCTCAAAAGAGTCTGGAACACATGTACATAAAAAAAGTCAGGAGAAATAGGGACAACTTTTAAATTATTTTTACCACATGCAGATAAATGATTTACCTTAGAATACAGAACAGTTGCCTCATTTTTACCTCTTAGCATTTAAATATTTTTTCAACATCATATCATGTTTACTTTGGACACCGAGTGTATTATACATAAATTGATGCATTATTTTATTTAATAACATTATATATGTTTGAATGATCAAATATCATTTCACTTAAGTAAATAAACTACAGACCAACATCAGAAACATATACAGAGGCAATAAATATGAACAAGGGAAAACTGAGTTATAAAGCTTAATAACATCACAAAATAACAATATTAAGCAAGTGTTCTGATGGACAAAAAGTGAAGACTGCATGCATATAACTTGGTTCTGCTGTGTTAATGATAATAACAGTACTGGAAGGCCTGCAAGCTTCAAGAACCAATTATAAATATGCATAATAATAAATATGATTTAATTACCTGATTTCCTATGAGGCTGTACTCTGCTGCATACCGTAAAGTTTTCCCCAAGGAGAAGGAGTGCACCTGCAAGAAGACAACATTGAAAGTCTGATCGGTCAGCTCTTATACAGCTGTGGTAAATGTCAAACTTGTAACAGGACTTCAAACATTCTATGTATATATCTTGTATAAGTATTTTTTATTTTGAGAAAGGAAATAATTCCTATGGTGTAACAGCAACAGCATTTAATCTATAGATGTACAGTTAAAAATGAAGCATATATATTTGCCCGATAGCCAATAATTCAATGTTATCCCAACCCATGTCATTGCACATTAAAAGCCTTCAAAACTTGAGGACAGATGCCGTAACAACATGTGGAATGAATGTTCATTAGTTGGGTAATTGAATAACAGAAACTTCACCAGATACAATAACAACATTATTGACAGAACCATTTTCTTCTGGGTATCATACACAAAATGCAGGGGTCTTATGAAGTTGTCCAAGAAACCATGGTAACAGTAATGAAAAGACAAAATTTGCCAAACATCTGAATGTGGGAGATATGTACGCAATAGACAGAGACGACCAGTGCTGTATCACAGCATATGTATCAGTAAAACTGTAATGATATATACACCACAACACCAGGACTCTCATGTTACATTGATATTAGAACTTAAACAATGTCACAATAATATAGATAGCCAACATTCTTACAAATTACAGTCGATATCCTACATGAGGTTTCCTCAAAATTGCTATCATTACAAAAAATTAATTGCACAATAACTCTTTGCATGGTGATCCTAAACTGTTACATTTGAAACTACTTAGTAATTACTTTGTAATTGTGTTTCATTTTGCTTGAGAGTGAATGCGAACTCTGATTAGGGGGAATAATGTTACGATACAAAACGTATCCTCCACCTAAAGTACCCTCTACCTTAAGTATCAGGGCCGAACGTTCCAGTCCCCTGGAGCTACTGGATTTACAAGACTACCGGTGAAGGCTAATGTTTTGGACAATAAGACTGTTGAGTCTGCCCCTAAGAACCACCGGTGTACAGACAGTTGCTGACTGATGTTACACAGTAATCAGTGATGTACTGATTACACTGTAAATGTACATGAAAGGAGACTGATCTCTTTGTGGTCCAGGATTCCATCTGTACTCAAGCAAAAGCCCTACAGGATTCATCATCATGAAATATTAAAATTCAACATTATAACGTGAAAGTGTGTTAAGACTTTATATTATCAGTATGTGTCATAAAGAAATAGAAAACTCACTCAGAACCTTGTTTTCCTTTCTTATTTCCTAAGCTTTACTCATTCACCCCTGAAACTTTATAATGAACTATTCCAACCTGTGAATTGGAAGTGTTCAAATGTGTCTTCAGGGGTGAATTAGTTAAACTGTCTGACTTTGAGGTTATGACACAGACCGGGTCACAGTGTACTTGTTGAACCGATCAAAGACATACTACTATGACTGGTAATTACAGATTCTACATTTTCAGCCAAACCTGATACTCTTTAACAACTTGTATACTTGGGATCAAGCTATATATACATTTTCAAAAAGTCACAAAAGATAAATTGGCATCTCCAGAAACCTAATTATGTAAACTTAGTTATGATTGGCATTTACCAGTAAGCTGCATGAACTAATTACAACTACTTTTGCCTCCACAGAGCTGAGCTGTAGGCAGTAGAAAGGGAAACAAAACACTGTCAGGAATTTGGGACGAATTTCTGTATTACCCACTGATCACATAAACATACAGGCAGATAGTATACGCACGCCAGTGGCCAAGTATCACCACAGGCCTTCCTGTATCTTCCTGACCTAGCCCAAGTACCAGATCCACAGCCAGCTTCAACTGGTAGGGGCAAGTCTACAGTCAACTTCTACTGACATAGACAAATCTTCGGCTTGTTAACACTGATTGTAAAATAAACCTTACCCAGCGGCAGTTCATTAACTCAATAACATGGGTTATATGGTAACTCAATAGAAAGACAAGACCCAAACCGATTGTCAGAAATTCTCAGTAATTAGGCCCATCATAGCTGATTAGTGGAGGGTATACAGACAGAAGATCCATATGCACCCACCCCATGCTACAGGGGAGTGTTAACCCCTCCCACCAGTAAAGCTATAGTCGGCTACCAATTTGTTTTAATTAGTTGCCAACATTAGCATCTACATAATTTGTGTCTACAAGTGCTTGTTCATAAGTAAAAGTGCATCAAATCATCAACTTTAATTGAACAATGACTGATAAAGATTGTCTGCCTTAACAGAAAAATGTTTTCAGATTTATTACCAGGCCCACAAAAGGCCTTCATTACTCAACTGGTTAACATGTAGCTGACCTGGTCACCATGAAAAAGGGTCAAGGTTGAACAAACTATTCAACAAAACTGGGAAAAACTGATAAACTTTGAGTCCAGTAAGCTACAGGACAAAGACCATAAATCTAAATCAAATAGTTCCTTTAATTATTAGATGTGAAAATATTTCAGTTTTAAAGACAGGTGACACCCGTTTTGACCTTAAAAGTGGATCAATTGTATTATGTCATTCATTTGAAAAAAATTGTTAGCACCAGCAAACAACAGGACAAAAAGCATGATTATATTTTCACCTTTTTCTAAACATTTTCTTTGGGTCGGAAAGTATGGATTATGAAAAGTTCTTTTTACACAACCAATAAAATCACCGGTCATTTGTCTGATGAAGGTAACAGTGTACATATCATACTAGTCATCGAAACATCACATAGAAAAAAAATTTGGTTGTGTAAAAAACATTTTTCACCTTGGGAACTAAATGAGACAATAGCATCCATTTGACGATACCCTACAATGCCTTCTACCAAAGTAAGCTACAGGACAAACATCATGACTCAGGAGCTTATTATTCTGTAAAAGATGCTTAATGTTTGAAGTTTTGAACACATTCAACTCCCGTGACTAGAAAGTAGTACATTGTCATTTGTTTTTACTTATCTGATAGCTCTTTATTACAGCAAGCTATCACGGCTCTAGGAGACATAGTTCGGTAGAAGAAGTCCTATAAGGGAAGATTACATCACACCATAATAAGTTTATAGCAAATTGACTATTTGGTCACTAGTGCTACACATTTGTAACATTTCATGAGTAAGAGGCTGACCTTTTCTGTGTCGACTCCTTCGAAGTCTGGTATCTGCCTCAACTCTGGCGCTGCATAGGCGTGGCCTTCAGTCCCACCATTGTGTGGAAACTGTACCTCTCCGCCACTGGTGAAGGTCAGGGTATCCGGGCTTATAACGAAATTTGGATGCCCCTCATGTCCTTCACCTGGCAACAAAATATACAATATTAACTACAGAGAAATTAACCAATACCTACAGGAATGTGTACACTTAATGGAACTATGTTAATTTGAACTGGAAATAAAACCTGTATATTGCAATTTTTCAGTGAAATTATATTAGCGCGAGTGTACACTAATACCTGTATAAAAACATTTTGAAGATGCATCAAAAGCACTGCGTAATTCTTGGATAAATACATCATGAACACGTTGAGCATACATTTGCAAAAAAAAAAATCATTTTATACATATTGGCAAAACTTATCAACAAGGTGTAGAGTTGTTATGTTAGAACAGGTGTACACTATTCCCTGTATATTGGAGGTGTAGAGTTGTTATGTCAGAACAGGTATACACTATTACCTGTATATTGTAGGTGTAGAGTTTTTATGTCAGAACAGGTGTACACTATTACCTGTATATTGGAGATGTAGAGTTGTTATATTAGAACAGGTGTACACTATTACCTGTATGTTGGAGGTGTAGATTTGTTATGTTAGAACAGGTGTACACTATTACCTGTATATTGCAGGTGTAAAGTTGTTATGTTAGAACAGGTGTACACTATTACCGGAATATTTGAGGTGTAGCGTTGTTATGTTAGAACAGGTGTACACTATTCCCTGTATATTGGAGGTGTAGAGTTGTTTTGTCAGAACAGGGGTACACTATTACCTGTATATTGGAGGTGTAGAAATGTTATGTTAGAACAGGTGTACACTATTACCTTTATATTGGAGGTGCAGAGTTGTTATGTTAGAATAGGTGTACACTATTACCTGTATATTGGAGATGTAGAGTTGTTATATTAGAACAGGTGTACACTATTACCTGTATATTGGAGGTGTAGAGTTGTTTTGTCAGAACAGGTGTACACTATTACCTGTATATTGGAGGTGTAGAGTTGTTATGTTAGAACAGGTGTACACTATTACCTGTATATTGGAGGTGTAGAGTTGTTATGTTAGAACAGGTGTACACTATTACCTGTATATTGGAGGTGTAGAGTTGTTATGTTAGAACAGGTGTACACTATTACCTGTATATTGGAGGTGTAGAGTTGTTATGTTAGAACAGGTGTACACTATTACCTGTATATTGGAGGTGTAGAGTTGTTATGTTAGAACAGGTGTACACTATTACCTGTATATTGGAGGTGTAGAGTTGTTATGTTAGAACAGGTGTACACTATTACCTGTATATTGGAGGTGTAGAGTTGTTATGTTAGAACAGGTGTACACTATTACCTGTATATTGGAGGTGTAGAGTTGTTATGTTAGAACAGGTGTACACTATTACCTGTATATTGGAGGTGTAGAGTTGTTATGTTAGAACAGGTGTACACTATTACCTGTATATTGGAGGTGTAGAGTTGTTATGTTAGAACAGGTGTACACTATTACCTGTATATTGGAGGTGTAGAGTTGTTATGTTAGAACAGGTGTACACTATTACCTGTATATTGGAGGTGTAGAGTTGTTATGTTAGAACAGGTGTACACTATTACCTGTATATTGGAGGTGTAGAGTTGTTATGTTAGAACAGGTGTACACTATTACCTGTATATTGGAGGTGTAGAGTTGTTATGTTAGAACAGGTGTACACTATTACCTGTATATTGGAGGTGTAGAGTTGTTATGTTAGAACAGGTGTACACTATTACCTGTATATTGGAGGTGTAGAGTTGTTATGTTAGAACAGGTGTACACTATTACCTGTATATTGGAGGTGTAGAGTTGTTATGTTAGAACAGGTGTACACTATTACCTGTATATTGGAGGTGTAGAGTTGTTATGTTAGAACAGGTGTACACTATTACCTGTATATTGGAGGTGTAGAGTTGTTATGTTAGAACAGGTGTACACTATTACCTGTATATTGGAGGTGTAGAGTTGTTATGTTAGAACAGGTGTACACTATTACCTGTATATTGGAGGTGTAGAGTTGTTATGTTAGAACAGGTGTACACTATTACCTGTATATTGGAGGTGTAGAGTTGTTATGTTAGAACAGGTGTACACTATTACCTGTATATTGGAGGTGTAGAGTTGTTATGTTAGAACAGGTGTACACTATTACCTGTATATTGGAGGTGTAGAGTTGTTATGTTAGAACAGGTATACACTATTACCTGTATATTGGAGGTGTAGAGTTGTTATGTTAGAACAGGTATACACTATTACCTGTATATTGGAGGTGTATAGTTATGTTATAACAGATGTGCACTATTATCTGTTGATATGAAATGTGTAATTGTTAGGAATCAACATGAAAATCTATCTTTAGTATGTGATGCTTCTCTTTAACCACAGATAATAATTTGTGGACCGCTTTGAGACGACATACAAACTATGTTGTTATAAAGTGGTATATAAGAACCTTAAATTATTATTACTTTTATTATTACTTTATAGCTCTATTATCTATATCACCACAACTTCTCCGCCTAAGACTTATATTGAATAGTTGGGATATTAAGTTTTTCAGTCCTTCCCCTGAATTCATTTCGTGTTATAATAAAAGTTATATTAGCTCAAAAATAAAATATCTAGCTGGGTGTTTTTTTTATTAAAAATGTTTGCATGATTCATGCATTACATCACTTTAACTTTTCTGATAGCTTTACATGCACATAGCTGCTGCACAGCGTAACCAGACATCTTGATGTGTTCCACACTAGCCTGGCCCAGCTTATCTGTATCAGGGAGACTTAGCCTTACATACGTGATACTGCAACAACTTCTCTATCAAATTTCCCTTCTAGTCCATAATGCACAGAATTACTACAAATAGTGTTTCAGTCAGTGCATAACATCCAAATTAGAATCCTTCTTAATGATTAACTTTTTTTTTCCTTTTGGAAATAGATTTCTGGCTTTTACATTTAATTCATGATTTCCAATAAAACTAAATAAGATGGACTGAGGTGAACTTTATGGAATAACTTCAAAAGCTCTTAAAACAAATTGATTTAAAAGGTTGATTGCATGTTGCATGATTACATGTATAACTTGTATGGTATCAAAATGAAAGCTATTATAATTTATTTGAGGTGTAATATAATTTGTGCTCACCCTGTTCCAGAGCGCTGTGTAAGGTAAGAGCACTTTGGTAGGCAATGCCCCATATTTCAGGTTCCGTGAGAGGTGCTCCCCGAACCTCTAGGACCTCAAATAGAGACACTGACACTTCAGCTACTGGCATCTTCCTTCTTATACCTACAAACACAACAAAATACATCATAAAACTTTGGGTACAGAACCCGCTTGTTACCTAATAATGGAAAAACAGTGTCTTATTAACTTAAAGCACTTACTTAAAAATATGATCTGCATAAGAAATTTACATACATACTGCACTACATGAAGTTCTTCTTTTGCTTAATTTAAAAAAAGAATTTATAATCAATGAAAGTTTTACTTAATATTCTTTTTCTAATATCATCAAAAGAAACAGGTCAGAATATTTACTCATCTTTAACCCTTTCAATCAACCAAAGGTAACTTAGTAGACTCTACCAGAGATTTATTTGAACGAGTCCATTATGGTCTGCAGTGGTGAAAGGGTTAAAAGCAGATTATCATGACCATCGGTATACCCCTGTAGCAGTTGTTGGTCCAGCTCCAGACACTTGGTAGGGGTTTTACCCACCAATCATCTGAAACTGGTCTTCTATCAGATCATGAATGTTACACTAAAGCCGAAAGGGAAATTCCCTATACCGCAAAGCTAGAAGGCAACCGTAATTCTATGTACAATTAAAATCTACCCAATACTCCCCCCCCC